CTTTTGGCTGTAAGCACACAAGAGTGTACTTCCAGATCTTTAGAAAATATTAAAATGTTGCCAAATGCAACCCCACAGGGTTTCCTATGCAAACAATTATAATAACATAACATAACATGTTATTATAACATATAATGTGCAGAAGTCCAATGGAAAAATCCTTTAAAAAGCACTAACACTACACCAAACGGGTCCAAGTCAGCTGATTTAATGAAAAGGAATACAAAAGCGGTCATGCAACTATCGGATATAGTAATCTGATAATAATTAGAGTGCACCTACAAAGTAATCCCCATACCAATGACATCTGAAAGGTTTCGATATAAACACCCATATTGACATTGAAACACTTATTTTGCTAATCACGTAGTGGCGACGAAAAGCTTTTGCTACGTCAAAGCAACAGGTTCCCCAAAAGCTTATAGACGAAGCTTGCCCCAACACACCCTAATTCAACTCAGTTGAACTCAACACTTCAGCTGATGTGCCGTGATGTTTTCATTTTTCTGTGTTCTCCAAACTTTGTTTATTACCGTGTAAATTGCACCGCATACTCTATTATTTGTATATACAAATGCCATTTCGCGAGTGATATGCTTACCTCTGAACAAGTGTAAACTATGTGATAATCGAAAGACTGTAATCGCAACGAAAAAGTGCTCAATCAGTAATTTATGAAAGTAGGAACTTTATCAGGTGCCATAAGCCAGCTCTATAGTGATCAACTAAAAATAAGAAAGTGCAAACAACAAATTCCGAGTACCGCGTTCAAGGGGTAAACAGAAATCCACACGAAGTGAAGCAACAGATACGAACCCCAAACAGAGAAATACGAGTCCACAATGAGAATAGTTGGATCCAGTATGCTGTCAGCCCTCCAGCGGCTCTCAACGATCAAACCCCCCACCTTGGTCAGTAACATCCGATCTCTGAGCTCTTTCGGAACCATGAGCCTGCCGGAACGCCAGCCCTTTTCTCCGGACTTCTTCTTCCGTCAAGTACGTAAGCGGATGGACTACCTTGCAATATTCTAGTGAGACTTTTACAAGCCTTCATTCAGCTTTTCGATGGGGAAAGCAGCACCTATAGTTACCTTCTGGCGGATCTGAAGAATGGGCAGGCCGTGATCATTGATCCCGTGCTGGAGCAGGCGAAACGAGATGCCCAGTTGGTCAAGGATCTGGGCTTTCAGTTGAAGTATGCCAGTAAGTCAGCGAGATCCCATTGGATAATCATTTCACCATGGCACTACAGTATTTCCCCATTCCCCAAGTCAACACCCACATGCATGCGGATCACATAACGGGCAGTGGTTGGTTGAGGAAGTTAACTGGTTGTCAATCTGTGATTGCTGCCGCCAGTGGAGCCAAGGCGGATCGTCACCTGCAGGAGGGGGATCGCATAGATTTCGGCACGCATGTGATTGATGTCCTGGCCACTCCGGGGCACACAAATGGCTGCATGAGCTATGTGATCAAGGATCAGGGTTGTGTCTTCACCGGAGACACTCTGCTGATCCGAGGCTGTGGACGCACCGACTTCCAGGAAGGCTGCCCACGTAATCTCTACGAGAATGTGCACAGCAAGATCTTCACTCTACCGGAGAACTTCCGCATATATCCGGCTCACGACTACAAGTGAGTGGGATCTAGAAAGCTATGGGATATATATCTAATGGCGGTCGTTTCCAGGGGTCAAATGGAAAGCAGTGTGTGGGAGGAGAAGCGGTATAACCCCAGACTGACCAAGGATATTGATGAGTTTGTCAAAATCATGGAGAACCTGAACTTACCATATCCCAAGAAAATAGGTGGGGATCTGCATATACTGAGTACTACATCTTATACTGAGTTTAATGTCTTTTAGATGCCTCGCTGCCCGCCAATCGGGAGTGCGGAGTTTACGATATACCCAAGGAATAAACGCCACCCCAGAAAGCACTATATACGCAGCTTGTATAATAATGTTTCAAAGCGATTTGTAATCTTTTAAATAAATAATCATAAAAAGCTTATCACGATCAAGTCAAGACAACCTTACTTTACTCCCTGACTTCATTGCTTAATAAGATAAACGTAAAAGACTCACTTTTTTGTTCGCCTTCTTTTGTTGCAGACCATTCTCAATCCGAAGGGTTGTGGCAGTGCCGTCAAGTACAGTCTGCACTCGACTGCAGAGACGAACCAGGAGACAGCCAGTAACACCACCACCTCTACCCATTGTTCCACCACCGGAAGAAGGCGCAAGGGTGGCTCCCTGGGCGGTACGCTCTCCTCGCGATCCACGCGCAGCGAATCCAAGGAGCTGCGATCGGCTCTTCAGGACCGGGAGGCTGTCATCCAGAATCTGCGTATCCAACTGTGTCTGGGCAAGCTGCCACGTCCCACGGGACCACCGCTGGATGAGTCCGAGAAGCCGGCGGCTGAGCAAAAACTAAACCGACTGAAGACGGAGGCGGAGAATAAGCGAATTAAGATCAAGAACCTGAAGAGTGCCCTGGAGAAGCTGGACATCACAGAGTGAGTAGAATGCTTCCATATTTACATTGATGATTAAATACTAACTTTATGCCGTCCACAGCAATATAGACATCCGCATCCGTCAAGCCGAATTGGAATACGCACTGGGCAGAGAAGAACTCCAGATGCTCTCGATTGTGGAGGAGGCTCGTGCTTTGCAGGCACGTCTGGAAAAGTCCAAGCCCGAGGCCCAGACCCTCTACAACATCATCAGCTCTGGAGTCTCCCTGAGTCTGCACGCCGTGCATGCCACCTCTGGAAGATGGGCAGCTCAGCAGAGGACAGACCAGCCGGGTTTCTACGTGGAATGGGCTTTAGAGGGCGATGGCTTGTACAAGGGCGATCGCATTTTGGAGATTAACGGACGACTGGTCACCGGGAAATCCAAGGAAGAGCTGCAGAAGCAAGTTGGAAACTCCGGCAAGTGTCAGATGGTGGTACTGCGCAAGAAGTCCGTACCTATACCACAAAAGCAACTCGACCAGGAGAAGGAGAACAACATGCGGCTGCAGCATCGCATTTCGTACCTGGAAGAGCAGGTGCGCGAGCTTCAGACAGTCAAGGAGCATCATCCATCGCAACAGCAGCAGCAGCAGCAACAGCAGCAACAGCAAAATCCACAGCAGATAGCCTCCAATCAATCGCAGCATGTAACCAGCATCAGCATATCATCGCCCCCATCAACACCGCCCGAGAAACCGCTGATCTTCCAGCGCGGAAACTATATAACCACTTTGGTGGGTGGCAAACCCATCGAGCTGATGGGTGAGGACATGGCCACCGCACAAACTCCGCTAGGACATGTGACCAAGACCCTGATTAAGGAGAATACCCATATCGATTTGAGAGATCGTCTGTCGCACATGTACTCCATGCCCTCCAAGTCGCTGTCCGCCTCGAAGATCTCGATTAACAGCGATTCCGCCTATATGCAGCACCATCGGCGTGAGAAGGACCGTCATCGGGATCGCCAGCACCGGGAGCGCCCCAGAGATCCTCTCCAGCAACAGCAGCAGCTGCATCGCGAACATCTCATGAGCACGCACGCACGCAGCGTCGAGCACCTGAACCATTACAATGGGTAGGTTCCAGCCATGCCGATGTCCATCTAATCTACGATTACTAGCTAATCTCCTCCATCTTCTCTGCCATTCCAGACTGGATCGTCGCCGTGACACGCCCCGGCAAAGTGAGTCGAACGCACTTAAAGCCCGCCTGCCCTGCGATATGAGGAGTGTAAAATCCCTGGATTTCGATAGCGAAAACGAATCGAAGCCGGCGACTGAGGCGCGTACCACTAGACCCACTCCTCCCAAGAAACCCCTCCGATTGTCGCTGCAACGAGCCCAAAGTCTGCAGACCGTAGAGCTGCACCCCTGTGCGGATATCGAACGAAAGCGGCCCATGAAGAGGGTCCACCACAACAACAACCACAAGGGTGGAGGATCGCCGACGGTTGAGGGCCAGACCATGCTCATCGAGAACTGCAGTCCCATGCACACGGCTTCGCTGGGCAGGCACAAGCTCATCTAGAAACCGGAACCCAAACCAACCAAAACTAATTGTTAATCGAAGTAGCTTAATCATCGACCGATCCTAACCGGCGGTTGAACCCGAAAACAGGCGGACATGTGCAAAATTACATTAGGCAATATAATCTTAATCGGCTCCCAAGTGGAAAGTTTCTTATTATGAAGTAGCAGTAGTACTTACCTTGTATATCTATAAGTAGGGCTTGGCTATCATCCTTTAGTATTGAGAAAAGAATAGTTAAGCGTTTTTGTATGATGATTTTATTAGCACAATTTACCAATGTGAATACACAAATATTTTCACCTGATTAAATGTGTCACTTACTTGAAAAATTGGATCTTGGCCTGCTATAAATGACAAATTCCTGAATATCTATAGTTTAAACAAGCCAATTTACAAATGGTATTTGTATGGCGTTGCATACCAATGCAATCTCACTGCAAAAGAATTTTCGACATAATAGTAGTAACTCTTCAAATTTGCTTATATCGGGAAAGTCAGTCAATATTTAGAACCTCTACTGTGGGCACATATTTTATGGCGCTACAGTGATAAGGTATTCAAATGAAAAGCACGTTAGCGTGTTCCAGCTGCGCTTTTAATTTAGTACGCTTAAAGAATTACCTAATAGCTATAATTTGGATATAATTAATATTAATTATAAAAGCAGCAAATTGGGCAATGGATATATCATCAGGTCTGTACAGGTGAATCTGATCTAACTGCAGTTGATAAAGACTCAGCGAGAGAGATAGAGAGGCGAAGAGAGAGGTAAGCTCGCGATAAACCGGAGAGCGATTCTCTCTCGCCCACGCGATCGTGCTGACCACCCACTGCAATGCCATCCGCTCCACCTGGTGGCGCTCTCGATTCATCATTTTCCGGTGCTCGCTCTCCACGAATCTGCCAGCAATGTTCTCTCAGCGAGTTGATTTGCGATGGCAATGCCAGGTGCTCAAAACAGTTTCGTCGCAGTTCTCCAACGGTACAGAGGTGCAATCGCTTAATACTCGCAAAAACAATCAGTACCCAATTATTAAATAGTTGCTAACAAGGTGAGTTTGCAACGGACGCGAAAAAAAGAAGATCAAGGGCTAGAAATCGAGAATATTGGGTGAAGGTTAAGCTGAAGTTACATTTAATTGCAATAATTGTACGGTTTCATTATTCCTTGGTTTGCTTACACCTTAGAACAAGATTTAGATATATTACCCACAATGGCGTATTACCAAAAAAACCAGTTACCGCAAAAACGCAGTTTACTTCACTGAATTTTGATTTTCTCATTCGCTGTCCGCTTGCCCTTGACTGGGTTAAGGTAACCAGTTATTAATCCCGAGGAATGAGTGGGCAAAATGCACTCCAGACCATATAATACATATCCATTACAATCCACAATCCACACATGCCACAGCTTAAAACTTCGCTGAAATTCCAATTCTTTACCGTGAACAGATGGTTGAACAAGTGTTTACGATATTCTATCTCTCGATATATGGAAATTATGTATTGTTCTTATCTCAAAACTGCATAGCTTCTTCGTTTAAATTAGACGCGAAGTCACTGTGTGGGAAATCAAGTAATCTTTGCTACATTGTTTGCAAATTCATGAAGAGTCCTATGACTTACAGATTTTATTCAGATAAGCATATCGTTAGCATATCGTTTCTACGTAACTCCCAAACTGAGTTATTATTTTCAAATCCATCATATTCAATCAGCAAGCACAAGCTCTAATAACCTCATTTGATGGACAGCAGTGGCTATTAGTTGCAATTTGTGACCCATTTCGTGACAGTTTGAAGCGGAATAAGTAAATAGCTAGCAAAAAAGATTAAAATATTTATCGGTAATGACAATAGCATTTTTAGTACCTCAAATTGAGCCAAAAATCAGTCGCTCTTGTCGATTCCAGCGTGAGAATCGTAAATTATGGGACCGGGTTCAAGTGCAGATAAGGATATGTGTAGAGCAGGTACTGACCGCGTTTGAAGATCGTGCCAGATCGCCAGCATATCGCAGACACATCGATAAGGTCCTAAGGAAACCGGATCCATAAACCAATAGTGCCCGATAAAGTATGACACCCATCCAACTCATTCATGGGACTTTGGAAGCGAAGTGCGTACGAAAAAGAGATTGTTGATTGACCTTCCCGCAGCCACACTTAACCCTGTGAAAAAGGCTGTTTGCATTTAGTTTCGTTTGGGTATCGCTCAGTAGTCACACACATAAATAATACCCGTTCGCACATCATATATGACCCACAAATCGTTTCATAAATTGAGGCTAGGCGCTTCAATTCCGCACACAACTGTCCGGCTTAATGGAATCAAGAGAACGTACACCTGATGACGTCCAAGCCAGAGATGGGCTTGAATTCAAGTGCCAGAGATGAACTGGCCTCGCGGAATTTCGGATTATAGGACTTGGCCCCTCTCACATAGAAGGCATTTCGAAAAATAGTTCCCGAAACCGAAACAATTTCATTTAAAAGCATTTACAACTTCAGTAAAAACCATGACATAAACGTTTGAAAGACGCTTTTAATATTGAAGCCCTATATATTTTGAACATTTACAGGATCTCAGTATTTACCGAATGGGAGTATAATTTAGTTCGTTTTTAGCTATGTCCAATAGATCATCCCCGCTGGCATTTTCTAAGCTTGTGGCACTCAATTTAATAAAAACTATTTATTTATAGCCATTCAAACATTTCAGCCCCTGCTAACTGAGTCGTACACGTGTCTAATTTAACTATGATTTCGTTGCAGTTCAAAAATGCTGCAATATCTCGTTGTTAGCCTGGCACTTTGCGCCACAATTTGCTCTGCTGCGCAGACGGTAAGATATAATATCTCGATAGCTTGAAAAGCTTATAATCATGCACTCACTTTGCAGCGTAATATGCCCATACAAGCCATTGCCTATCTGACCGGACCCGTGCAATCGGATAATACCCAGGTCAAGGGCAACGTGACCTTCACGCAGAACGACTGTGGCCAGAATGTCCATGTGCGCGTCCAGCTGGAGGGATTGAAGGAGGGCAAGCACGGCTTCCACATCCACGAGAAGGGGGATCTGACCAACGGATGCCTCAGCATGGGTGGTCACTATAATCCCGACAAGGTAGGTGCCGGCTCCATCAAAACTATATGGTATATAATTATAAGTCGCTAATATAACTTGCATGTTTCAGGTGGATCACGGTGGCCCCGACCACGAGGTGCGTCATGTTGGCGATATGGGCAACCTGGAGGCCAACTCCTCGGGCATCATCGACGTCACATACACGGATCCGGTGATCACCCTAACTGGCAAGCAGGCGATCATTGGCAGGGGAGTTGTGGTCCACGAACTGGAGGATGATCTCGGCCTGGGCAATCACACGGACTCCAAGAAGACCGGCAATGCTGGCGGCCGCATTGGTAAGTAGTCTGGCCCAAACAGTACCAATGAATGATCGCAAATATAATGATGTTGATTTGTTTTGAACTTTCTTTCAGCCTGCGGTGTTATTGGCATCAAGTAAATATCCCTTCCAATGTGTCAGCCCAATCAATATGCTGCTCGAATACTTTATGTGTAGTTGTGTAACTCGTGGCCCAGTAACTAATGAAATGTTTACCCAGTTTTCCTAGTTTTCCCAGTTTTCCCACCCACAATCAGTCACCCTCACATGTTTGGCTTACACATTTCCCCCAATTAACTGTCTCAGTTCACTGACTCACTCGATTCCGGCCGTGTGTTTGTGTGTAATAAAATCAACAAAACTTAACCGAAATCTAAGCTAAGCATTTGCATTATATTTACCACTTGTGTTCTACCACCTCATTCATGGCCTAAACAAACTGTCGCGCTTTCCTGGGGTTGCTTGTCTGAGCGGGTAGGTATGACAGGTAGCCTTTTTACCAATCACTTTACTAACATCATTAGCATTAGTGGCCAGCCAAGGGAAGGGTATATTGGAATAACAACAGCCGCTGGAATCGGAAGTTACTGTCCAACCCGGGTTCAATCAAACTCATATTGTATGTTTTCCAGTGGCCCACCTGTACCTGCTCCTGCACCTGCACCTGCACCATCAACACCACGCCATCAACCACTGTACTATGTGCCCCATGGGGAGCCACAAGATCATGTTGTCTATCCACTCCAGCGCTATCCCTTGCCATACCCATACCCATATCCATATCCGCACCCATACCCCTATCCGTATCCGTTGTCGCACCAATTGTATCTGTGAGATCGCGAGACTACACCGTTCGCCTGTTCCACCTTCTAATTGCAGCTCGGATGTGGACGAGTGGCCATGTCGCGATGGTGGCGCCGGCGCCCTGCGCTACTCCTTCTCCATCCTGACCCTCGTCGTGGCCATCTTCTTGGCCCGCAGCCTTGACTAACCCAACACCTGCAACCGGATTGGATCGAATGCATGCATGGGAATGTGGCACGGGATTGTTGGCCATCGTAGTGATCCGCATCCCCACTTACACACTAATCACAACCATTAGTCGCACAACACCACAACAGTAATTATAATACTCCAGCATTATCCACCCAAATAGAGAACTCAAAGCAACTAACTAAGCTACTTGTAAAGTGTTTGAATTGATCGATAATAAAGTTTGTTATTTGTATTTCGGGTGTTTGCAGTTCGTACGTGCTTGGATAGTAACAAATTCGTTAAAAACGCTAACAGGGCAGATAAGGGTTACCTCTAATTTTAAAGAAAGATTAGACAATTTCAATTTGACTGTTGGAAAAGCAAGAATCAAAGTTCATTTCACATCGATATTATATAAACGAAAATACAAATTAAATAACATTTCAATGTGGTATGTTGATTCCTAAGCACATCAAGCTAAATATCCATGTCCCCTGGCTGTTTGCTACCCGAAATAGGTTACCAAATAAATGAACACCTCAACTTGGCCAGGAAACCTATATTTAGAACTCACTTATACTGTGGAAATTCGACAAGGTTCCAGCTCAAACGCCATCAAACCTTTATGGGACATATGACATTCGGTTGCCTTTGATTTCTGAATTCCAGCTTGGAGCCACAATTTGCCTTGAATTGCGGAAGCCTTCAGAAAATATTTACCCACCAATCATTCACAGAACTGCAGTTCCCAGTGATTCAGATTCCTTGATTCCTTGCAATACCAACTAATGGTCAAGCAACAGTTTTGCCTATATTTTCTCTAGATTTCCCCGACCAGATAGGGTGGGTCAAGGAATGGGTCACCCAGTGTGATTCTAGGAACTTGGGGCCATAATTGCCGACACGCAACATTAACATCATCCGAAAGACTGTGGCATACTTCTAGGCGTCTTTAATTATTTCGCACAGTCCCGACGAATTCGGCTTGCCAGAGAAAGAGAAAGCATTTTACAACTTTCTTTGCCCGCGCACGAAAGCACGCAATTAATTTCGCCTTGGGCCCGGTCGAGTTCCAAGTGCTAAGTGCTGAACTTTAAAGGGAAAACACCAGACGCGGGCGCCCCGCTGAATTTCTATGGTAATAAGTGCAATGACCCACCCGGAATCCAGCAGGAGGTGGAGCCGCAGGCGAACTGAGGTAATCCCCGGGCGACCCACTTTGCGTTGGTCAAAGTTCTTTGCTATCGAATGCTAAATCAACGAAATGGGTTGTGCAGCTATAAGCCAGCACCGACTTCCAGCCCCTAGCCCACGCCCATGCCCATGCCCCGATCCCTATATTCCTATTCCGATTCCGATTCCAGCCTAATCATGCCTGGCCTGAATTCGAATCCGGGCCTCCAAGACTTTCTCCCTCGCTTTCACTTTTGTTCCGCCCCCCACTGCCCCGCACCCACCCCGGCCGCCAGCCGGATCCGTTGCCACCACCAACCCGCCAAGTGGCCACAACAGAACCGGGCCCTTCTAAAGCCCGGCCGGACCGCCGCTCCGGTCAGTTCGCGGTTAAACCCCAGTGCGGTCAGTCGAAACGGGCCATCGCTCCAGACCCCATAAGCCACAATCTCTGGAACCAAGCGGTTCTAGCTTGGGATTGCTCCACAGTCGAATTAACTTCAATTAGTGCCCGATTCAGGAAACATCAGAATGCGTTCTTGCGGTCCGAGTTTAATTAAATATGTTTTATTCGCCTTTAATGTGCTGTTTGCGGTAAGTGAATGAAACGCCGGTGATACAAAAGTTAAAAATCAGAGGGCACAGAGGATTTTAAGACAAATGAGTTGGTAAAAGGACGCCTCCAAAGGAATATTAGTTCCTAAGAACTCAATACGAATTAAGAAGTACTATATATAAACATAATTACTTTTTGATTCCTACATCTAATCTAAAATCTATGTATCTTAAATGTTTTAAAATTACGTAAGCATTTTCTGGGAATTTTCGGATAGAAAAGCTTAACTGCAATTATGAAACCTGAAAAGCTACTTTTAATAATTCTATAATTATTTATTCTTGCTCGTGATTTGGTCTAATTCGCCATAAGCACTATAATTACGCTGTGCATCGAGTCTTGTTCGACTCATTTAGATAAATATCGCTGGAAAATGGCACTCTCACTCGCCATTGACTGGTACTCCCCCATCGGAAAATCGGAAAATAGGAAAACGGTGAAACGCGATTGCCTGTAACGACATGCAAGTGATGTATGCGTGCTCCAAAGGACATGGACATCGGGTGTCCTTCGCATTGACCAACTGAGCAAACAGGCGACGTTCAATGACGCCATGGACTTGAACATGGAAATGCCATTGACTAAGTCGTGGGTGATTTTTATCGTTCAATTAGAATAGGGAATGTAAATATAAATGCCAACGCAAATTAGGACATGATTGGAAGCCATTAACTAAATTGCTTAACGAACGTATTGCAGGTCGATTCGATTAATCGAAGGTATCAATTTTCTTACAGATCTCCGGCTTGGGAATCCTTATAGCTGGTGCCGTTGTCCTGGCCGATGTGAATGAATTCAACCACTTTGTCGAGGGTCGAGTCCTTGCACCGCCGATTGTCCTCATTGTCACGGGACTGATCATATTCCTGATAGCTTCGCTGGGCTGTTTTGGAGCGATCAAGGAGTCTCCAACGCTTCTAATTACGGTAAGTTGTCTAAGAAGTTCCCAGCCCATGACTAATGTGATAAGGAAGAGATCCTAACCCATTCGAACTACATCAACAGTTCGCAGTCCTTCTGGCCGTCATCTTCATTGTGGAGCTGGCCGTGGGCATTGCGGCCAGCGTGTTCAAGAAGGACCTGGAGGGAATGGTGAAGAACTCGCTGCAGGAGTCCATCAAGCGATCGAACAGCGAGGACACCATGGCCTGGGACAACATCCAGCAGAAGCTGATGTGCTGCGGTGTGGACTCCCCGGCGGACTGGAGGACACTCAGTGCGAACAAAACGCTGCCGGGCAGCTGTTGTCAGCCGCAGTTCATCGACACCACCGTCGGCCACTGCCTGGACTCGCCGGCTTTGGGTAAGGATAAGTACTTCCAGGACGGCTGTGTTGGCAAGCTGAAGAATCGGATCGAGAAGAACGCCATCATCCTGATCGGTGTGGGCATCGGCATTGCTTTTATCCAGATTTTGGGCATCATTCTGGCCTGCTATCTGGCCAACTCCATTCGACAGGAGAGGGCCAAGTAATGCCCATCCATAAATATAATTGATAGCTGTTTAATTCTATATAGTTGAAATTCGTTTAACGTTGAATTCTGCTCAATTTACATTACCTGTGCGGCCAGTAAACTTACCCTCAAAATCGAAAGATACACACATATATGAAAAGCGCAACAATTCATATCAGATTAAACCCTTTTCTTTCCTGTTTCACGCCATCTCAGCTTTACTTTTCCCAACTTTCCTACAAGTCCAATCAATCTTATTGATTTTCCATCGTTTTATAATGCATTTTTGTAAAAACAACCACGTTTCAATTAAATTTGTGTACCTTTTCTTCATCTACGACCGAATACATGGAAAATTGTTGCTTGTAATATCGAATAAATACTGTCCATATTTATCAATAAATATTACCTTACTACCGTTTTAGCAAATAAGTGTCCCATTTCTGACTTTTAGGTGTCTCTAGTACTCTTTATTGTAAGGGATCTACGTTGGGTCTACATTATTGGCCAGGCTCAGCGTCCACGTAAGCATGAGTTCCGTAGAGTTCAGCAATTACGGCTTCAATGGGGGTCTACCATCTAGAAGGGGGGTACCATCTAGAACTACAGGTGGACGCCGATATGGTGTCTCAGCGGGGTGCGATTGCGTTTTAACGAGTGCTCGACTACTGCTACATCCACTAGGGGGCAAATGCAATTTAATGGTCGGGTTCCATGGCCCTGGAACATGGTTTCCATCCGGAAGTCCCTACTTGCTCTGGAGCAGAGCTTCCGAGAGGCGTTCGATGGCCGTGACTGGGGGCTTGCGACCCTCCTTCTCGCCGCTCTCGAGGATGGCGGCTGCAGCGGCCGCCTCAGCGGCCTCCGCCTCCTCGAGAACCCGGGCCTCCTCCTGCTCGCGCTGCTTTTGGAAGTGCCGGAACTCCGTGGGCGTGAGCATGCCCCTCAACACCGTCTCATAGCTCACACTAACGCCCTTGGCGCCCATCTTCTGGTGCAACTTCCAGCACTCGCGCTCCTTCAAACTACGCACATACGCCGGATAGTTGTGGTCCGGCTGCGGCTGCTGGTCCTCGCAGTTGGCCGCATTGTTGTTGTTCTCCTTCTTGGCCTCGTCCGGCGACAAGGAGGCGACGGATAGCTCAGCTGCACTCTCCTTCTTCGGCTGCTGGTCCATTTTGGCCTGGACGTCGGTCAGGAAAATGGAGACTGGCGGCGCTGTGGGCGGTCGATTGGCTCGGATGCGGGCTGCCAGTGGTGCTATGGATCCACGGCGTATCATGTGCGAGTACTCCTTGGAGGCCAGTTGGAAGGTGGGCGGATAGCTGTCTTGAAACGAGACTGCCAGAAAGCTTTAGTTCGGTTTCAATGGCTGCTAAAGTGCAACGAAATGGAAGTGCCTAACGGAAAAGTATGCTACCAAATATTTTCATCGGCTGAACTTTCGAACAATGTGTATTACAACTTTCGAGCACAGTTTTTAACCCGATACGAACCGCTTGGCAAAGCAGATCTTGGCACTTACCCGATTTGCCCGTCTTCCTCAGCAACGGCGCCCTTCGCTGCGTGGCGCCCGATTGCTGTTTTTCCGAACCGCCAGTTGGCGGCGACGATACCGTCACGGAACTGTTGTCCTCCCGCTCGGAGTCGCTGCCCTCGGAACTCAGGAGGGACACCAGGGTGATCACATCCGGCGCAACGACGCTGCGCGCCCGATTCAGTGCCTTCTTGGTGGCGCTGCCGGCGACGGACGTGGATGTAGTGGTGTCCCCGATGACATCGAGGGGCACGGCGGACGAGGGCGTTCTCGTGAAGATCTTGCGTCGCCGCAGCTTCTGCTGGCTGCGCTTGCTGGCGGCTATCACGCCCTTGCTGCTCTCGTCCAGTCCGCGGACCGGAGCGGACATAGCACGCACCAAAGGCGGTCGCCTCTGGACGGTGAGGGCCGGCGAGATGCTCAACTGGATGTCCGGGTTCTCCACCGGACGGCTGCCCTCGATGTCGCTCACTCGCTCTGCTTCCACGTCGGCGTCCGCGTCCGCGTCCACTTCCGGTTCCGGTTCCTGTTCCCGCTCGTTGGTGGCCCTTATGGTCTGCGACAGCACTATGTTCAGATTAATGCGATTCTTGTCCGCCTTGCCGCTGCTGCAAACGGATAATGAATATTGCAGCTCCACAGTGCAACGTTTTGGGGATATCGAAGCCGAAATGGAAATGGAAATGGAAATGCAGGTGGAAAGTGGGGAAGTGGGAAATGGGAAATGAAAATGGAAAGTTTCGAGTGACCTACTCCCGCCACCCGGCTAAATTTAAATCAAATTATTTGGCATTAGTTGCGGGGCAATTTATGCTGTGCTCGATTCCGAATCATGCAAGGCACAGAAATAGAAATTAACTTGGGTGTTGGATTCCGCCCATCAGCCATCGGTCGGGTGAAACCATGAAAGGAAACCATGTCAATTACGTTGCCAATTGGCGCCCGAAAAGCCGACCAATGAAAGTGAGTCCACGAATCTGGCGGCCGTTGAACCCAACGGCGCTATCAGGCAAGTTCTCCGCCTTTCAGGCAGCTATCTTGTCAGCGATTCCCGCCAATGATCGACTTAAGTGTGCCGCCAGGCGGTGGGCGGTGGGCGGTGGGCGTTGGGCGGTGGGTGGTGGCTCCTCCTTTGGAGCATGTCTAGCGTGTGTTATGCACTGGAACATAAAACTTTGACGTTTGATTCGGGCGTGAAGCATGCAAATTGCACACAGAACTTGACGCGCGACGCCCATATCGAAAGTGTCACTTTCGGCATATTTATATAGATGCTATCGGGACAGCCATTACGGCTGGTTTCATTGGGCTGGTTACGTATACGCACCGGTTCGCTCACACCAAGGTCAAACAATGGATTCCCCAGCGGGTTTCCATAGGTGCGACACTTCCAGCCATTTAATTAAGCCCCTGCTTTTAGAAAGTAACATGTGTGGTGGTTTACCTTCAGTTAGTTTCCATCTAAAACTAAATGCTGGTGAGGAGTTACCCATTCCCACTCATATTCAGCTCATCATCAAAAACCGCACACTTTCTTGTGAAATCTATTCTCCAGCTACAATACTCACATCTTGGTCTCGGCCGCTTCCACCTGTGCAGCTCTTTCCGGTTCCTGATCCTTCAGCAATGACGAAGTGGAAGACCAGGCCACCAGACTCCTGTCCCGCAGCCGTAAGCCCTGCACCTGGGACGCCGTGAGGCGGGGTGCAGTCCTCGGCGTGGACTCCTCGACGGCCAGAGACGCCTGCCTGCCCACTGGATAGAGCTTCTGGCGGATGTTCTCGATGGAATGGCCCACGGAGAGACCTCTGGAGAGGTAGCCCCTCTGCTGGGTCGAGTATCTGGCCGTGGGCTCGATGAAGGAGTGCTGCTTTCGCACGGACAGGGGCAGCTGATAGCGGCCGCCGGTTGTGGATGTGGATGAGGATGAGTTCACGACGGACGTTGGAGCGTTTGTCGTCTGGAGGCGACGACGGCTGGCCACAGACAGCGACATGGTGACAGCCAGTTTATCCTTGATAACCTTGATTAGCAACGGCGACAATGAGTGGTTGCCGCAATGGAGTGGGCACGCGGTGGTGCAGAGCTTCTCGGGTTGGGAGTTGCAAGAAGGGTGCCTTACGTTTCAATTGCCAATCAATGTGGCACATCGAATGCAAATCAATTACGAAGTCATTAAGCCGGAGGCAATAACTTTGTCAACAAGCCAGTCGAACTGAAATGGAAACCCACGGCGGAGGCACCAACGAGCCGCCAGCCGTAAACCGAGATCCGTCACGAAAGCGAAAGCCACTTTGGGAGTGCGATCCCTGCGTCTGGCCGAGATCGAGGTGGCTTCCACGTCCACTTGGCTCGAATGCCCTGCACCGACTGCGTTTTGTGAATGAAGAAACTTTCGGACTCCGAACCGGAATCGGAATCGGAATCGGTTTTTTTCTTTTAGGCGCTTCGTTTATGTTGCCAACAAACAATCAACAAAATCGCAACGTTGGCAAGGAGTCGCCTGTTATGCTGGCTCAGGCTCTCCTTAGAGTTCGGTTCTGTGTTCCACTTCCTGCTCACACCCACACGCCAGACAGCCCTCCACCGATATACACTGCAAGAAATGGGCAGGACTTGGGGAAAGTGAGAATAAGGGGAAGTGTTCCTCGATCTCTATATGGAAAATTTAGAAAACCCATAGGAGCATTTGAATGTTTGGGGGACCTGGAGCTCCAAGTACCCAATTAGTTTCCGGTCAAAGTGCACTTTATTTTGCGCTCTGCACCCGTCGATCCACCTGCCAACCCCGGATCCACCCAATCCACCCAAAGACACGTGCAATTTCAGTGGGTCTGGCAAGTTTTCGACTGCGACTCAATGAACCCGCACGAACTTTTGTTTTCATTTACGGACCACCCACCGAACGCCTCTTAATCGAAAGGATTACGGCATTTTTGGCAATATGCAAATCCGGCCATGAATGAATGAATAGTGGCCAGAACGAGAAACGAAATGCTGGTAAGAGCAGGAGAAATGCGTACAAGTCGCTCAATGTCAGCGAAATGTTAGATGCAAATTCAGTTGTTGTCACAATGCGGGTACGAGTATCTGTATCTGCGGATGGGCACCGGATGGGATGGCAAGTGAAAAACTTTCACATTTGTGACAATTTCAAATTCATCAAAGACATGCAAAGTTCGGTGGAAAAGTTCCGTGCGCGGTAGCAATCAAATGGAAGTAACGAACATAGCAGAATGGAGCCGAGTCGAGCGGCGGCAAACACAAACACAAAATGGCATAAAACCGAAAAAAAAGTAGCAAACCAAATCAGGCCCACTTCAAGGTCACAGCCATACATATGCCTGTTAGCCAAAGTATTTATACGATAGTATCCGATTTTCCGATTGCCAATAAAATGTACTTAAAACAAAGCTGAAGCCCCATGCCAGCTGAATGGGCATTAATCACTGCCAGTCAGTAGTCAATACTTATATACTTTGAAGACTCCCTCCTGGCTGATTGGACAGGACTACCACTTTCTACTTCCTCCGACTGCTGCAATTCGAAATCAATTGCAATCGAAGTGCCATAAATATTGGACCAAGTCGTAACCGAATACAGCACGGTACCATAGCGAAACTGTCAGACGAAAACTTATTTTAATTAGAAGTGCAGTCGGTACGAAGCTACTGTGACTGGAACGGCCTGGACCTTATCTACCCACCTACCGTTTCCTGCACTTTAGATCAAATGGAATTACATATTTCAAATGAAGTCAAGTGAATATTTCGCAAAGTCGATTTATGCGAGGAACTATAGGTGCTAGCCTAAATATGAGCCTCTACCGATCTGCTCCAAGTTCGGCTTGGACCGCCAGGTTCGATATGGTTTGACTGGCAGCAAATTGCTTTTCCATACTTTCCAACTTCTGTAACTAACAAACTCTAAGCTTCCAGAGGTTTGATCACGATTAAACACAAACGAATTACAGGGATTGAACCCTCTATATCCTATTCTCCATGCAAACCCATAACGGCCAAGAATAAATTGTCTTTAAATTTGTATTTTTATCTTCTTTCCTGAAACGTTTCCCCTTAATATACGTTTTTTAATTTTACATACATAAATTTTACATAATTTTTAAACTTTTTTAAAAATTTTTAAATATTTTACAGCGGCTGCTAGCTATTTTGTAGCTACCTTCGACTGACAGTTTCCATCCCTGGCCACGACCAGTGTGACCACGCGCTGCCATAGGGCGACTTCGTTCATTTTCGTAGCTGTCAAGTGACGTGACGTATGGTGCTGTCGTGGCGTTCGCTTCCAGAGAGAAAGAAAGTCGCAGGTCGCCGAGTTGGATAGCCGCTGAGTTCCGCCAAATCTACTGATTCCTCAATAAAAACCACCTCAAAACCTGAGCAAGATGTCCCGTCAACTGTTCGCCATTTGCCTGATTGCCGCCGTTTGTGCGTCCGGCGTCTACGGAAGCTGCAAGGCCACCGTGAGCTCCTTCAGCACCCAGGATGCCACGATTCTGACCCAACTGGCGCATGTGGGCGAGTTCACGCTGCAGTGCAGCGGCTCCGCTCCCGCCAGCCTGTTCGCCGAATTCCCCTGCGGCAAGGTGGTGCCTGTGGCCAAAGTGGGCGACAACAAGTACCAGGTGAGCCAGTAGTTCCCTGCAGGGCTTGTGCAAAGACTAATCCTTGTGCCGCACTAGGTGAGCTGGGTGGAGGATATCAAGCAGGGCAGCAGCGGCAATATTCAGGTGCGTCTCTTCGACGAGGATGGCTATGCCAATGTGCGCAAGGCCCAGCGCGATGGCGACAAGGTTTCATCGGTGAAGTCGCTGCTCGACATTTCCGTGCCAACCAAGGGTGCCTACAAGGGTCCCTGGGTCAAGGCTGAGCTACTGGCCGCCTTCTTAGTCGGCGGATTTGCCTATTTCGCCTTCACCACCAAGGGCAAGGTGCAGTCCTAAGTAAAGATGCCTTCGTCATCGAGATCTTGAATGAAATTCATTCACACTAAAGTCATGTACCATCAAATTGCCGGGTCCCAGAGATTTTTCCACATTTTGTACACCTAAGCATCGGATCACCCGCCGCTCCAAAATAAACTGATTGAAAGACCAACCGAAGGAGCGTAGTTGAGATTAATTTAATTTTAATTTAGAGATAACTTGTACGAATACGCTTAAACCTGGCCCGTGGAGGGCGCTCCGTTCATGGTCGCCTCCTCGTCGGAGGAGATGTCGATCATGCTCTCCACACGCGACGGCGACATCACATACACAAAGTGCTCCGTGGAGCCCTCGGGGCCGACTGGCGGCGGGGGTATGACCACGGAGCCGTCCTGCGGCGGCGGTGGTGGAGTATCTATGCTGCAGTACTTTAGATTACCAGCTCCTCCTCCGCCTGAATCATCCGGCGGTGGCGCTCCCCCGTTGCAATCAAAGTTTTCCAGCTCTAGCTCCAAATCACTGACGATTCGCATGCAACGCATCTTGGCCAGCGACTGAAACTTCATTGGCATGGCTCGCACCTGCCGCGCCAGACTCAAAAAGAACAGAGTGTTTGCATCAAGTTCCCTGTTGGCCTGAAGCACCGCCGACACGTCCCAATCGCTGGGAAAGCGCGGATCGCAAATCTTACGCGTTTTCGCGGGCGACGCCTGTTGTTGCTGTTGGATTTGTGGAATTTGCAGTGACTGCTGCGGCTGCGTTTGTCCGGAATTTCCTCCCGAGCAACTCAGATTAATGGCCGTGGTTTGCGGCGAAGGTTGCACCCTTCGCACTTTGGAGGCTGGTGGCGCAGGCGGCGGCGGCGGAGGCGTGGGATTGCCTATGGGTAAGCTCGGACAGCTGCCGTTCAAGCGATTGGCATTCTGCACTTGGTTGGCCAGGTTCTGAAACAATCCCAGTGGTGCTCCAGCAGCCGCAGCCGCTGTCAGTTCCTTCTTGAAGTTGTCCGCCGCCGCAAAGAGATGCGGCTCGATGATCAGACAACCGACATTGCTGTTGGCTGCGCTTCCGGTGCTGCAACCAGGCGGCGTAATCGTAGGTGGCAGAGGTAGACCAGCAGCCACTGCCGCCGCCTTGAGCGTGGCCAGCGGGAACATCTGCTGGGCCAATCCGCCCACACCCAAGCCCATGGGCAGATGGTTAGCCAGTGAGGCCAGTGCATTTGCATTGGCCTTGCTGACGGCAGCAGCTGCGGCAGCGGCCGAGGATGCGGGTGAGATGGGCAGGGGCAGGACTACGGCGGAATTACTGCCACTGGTGGCAGGTGGAGTCATCGAACTGAGCGGTGCCACTGCAGCACAGTTTAGACTCCCGTTGGCGCTGCCATTGCTATTGCTGTTGTGGATTTGTGGTCCCACGGACCCGGAACCTCCTCCTGTGCCGCCCACATTGCTGCCCGGAGAGATCATATTGGGGGGCGTGGCCGCGCCCAAACTTGATGTTATGCCGGACGCCGAAGTACTACTCAAAGCGGTCGTATAGGTATTAACCGTGTGCGTGCCAATCGATGAGCAACCCGCCGATGCAGTGGCAATGGTTATCTTCAGTTCATCCTCGCCTCCATTGCTGGCTGCCTTGGCCAAAACTTGGTAGCCAAAATCACACTCTGTGTCGTCCTCGTCGTTGGATTTTCCATTCCCATTTGCGGAATTCCTAAAAAGTCAGAGGATCAGTTCGGCCATTGTACGCGTACAATATTGCAGTGTGGAGTGCTCACCTGCCCGGTCCCTGGAAGGGCTTTAGGAAATCCATGTGGTCCGCATGGGCCCAGTACTGGTACTTCTTGGACGTCTTTGTGCCCACGCGAAACGAGCGAAGGTACTTTGTATAACTGTCCCTTAGATTTTTCCATTTCCGTTTTGAGGCCTCTGAAAGTCAAAGGTAATATGAACAGTTTAGATATATGTATACATTTAAAATAGTTTAAAAACTACATATGCACTTAGTGTGCAGAATCGTTGTGATTTGCAATACGGCAAAAATGTGGCCATGACAAGGTAGGGTACTACTGAATATATGTATGTATATTTTCAGACATTATGGAATGGTTGACAATAACATTAACTTTGAGCTGTGCCCATCTGACCCCTTATTGTTGTACTCCATAATCAGAGCTGATAATTCTTTAAGCAGATGCGGCTTTTTTCTTATATTTTTCTATTTAGATTTTTAGATATTTTTGGGTATTTTGGATTCAAATTTCGACAGTGTGACCGCCGTTTACGACCAGCGAAATACATTTCCAACGGAGCCATTTCAGCTTTACTGAAGTTTTTCATATTTTTCGTTCCTTTGAAATTTGTGCAACCAGTACGCACGCTGCAAGCTGATTTTGTGAATATAAAAACGCGGCTAAGAGAAGTTTAATCGGAATATTCTAAACTTCAAGGCAAAAAGGGATTCCTGGTAACAAGAGTATATACGAAACATTATTTAGTCGCTGGTAAGATATTATAAGAGATTAACTTAATCATTTACACGAGTACATATACATATTTCCTGGTAATTGTCAGACTTTTCGTTTTCATTATAAAGTAATATTGTTTACTTGTACATACATATACATATGCAAAGCGATGCGTAGTATCTTCAGAGGCTCTATTTTGAAGTTAAGTTCTAGAACATTAAAATTCTGCCATGTATATTTAAAGGATCCCAAAATTAAACCGGCCTTGCAGTAACAAATGTATGATGTTTATGCAGAAGAACTAAAGAGGGTAATACAGGGTGCATACAGGGTAATACAGGTATTTAGGCAAAATACAAAGTAAAATAAAATAATGTGTGATATAGGAGATTTATTTCAGTTTGACTTAAACTTAAATTCAAATATATAAGTAATACAATTATTTAAAAGTGCAGCACAGGTGGTTGCTTGTTTTGGTTAACCGTTTCGCAGCTGGCAACGCCGTGCGCAATGTTTTTGTTTTGAAAAGCTCTCGCCCACCTACTCCCACTGCCGCCCCCTTCCGGCCTGGTCACTATCTTTCGCGCTCTCTCTCTCAGCATCAGAGAGCGCGCAGTTTTCGCTCATCGACTGTTTTTGTTTGTTTTTTCTGCGTGCCAGTGTGTTTTCCTTTTTATTTTTTTTTTGTTTCTGCTTCTCGCTGCAATTTGCCGACCGCACTCCAACTGACACACACACACACATGTGTACGTACAGTTTCTATATACATATGTATATGTACCAGCGTACGAAAAATATCAGGCCGGGCGGTTTGAGTTTGGCCGCTTTCAGGTATGTACATATACAAAGGCAGTATATATGTACATGTGTATATAAATATATATACGGTGCAGCAGTGTGCGTGGGTTCTACGTAATTCAATTTCCTGCGCCTCCTTCTTGTTTGTTGGGTGGAAGGGGGTATGGTGGTGGGCCGGGCTGACGAGGGGGTGGTGCTACTTGTAAATATTACCTACCCACTGAAAGACCTATCTCATCGGCGATTTGCGTCCACACCTTCAGCTTCACTTCAACGTTCTTGTAATCCGGATTGTGATTGTTGTACACCACATCATACTTCTTCACGATCTCGATGAAATCGGAGGTGTTATCTGACGTAGTCGAGGACTCGCTGATTGCGCGCGCCACTTTCACATCCTTCATGCTAACGGCGCTTTGCTAACGGTTTCGGCAAGCTCCTTATTTTTCGGTCTCCTCCTTGCTAACAGTACACAGAGAGCCACAGCAGGAGAGAGCGCGGGCAAACGAGAGTGTGTGACAGAGAGAGAGAGAGCGGAAGGGAGAGCGAGCGCAAAAATCGGAATCTGCCAACCGTCCGACTATCCGACTACCGTTCTGTGTGCGACCGCTCCGGCAAACGTTGGACACTTGAATGAAACGACGACGACGACGACGCCGCCGAGAGCTGCATGCACACACAAGTACGCTCCCCACTCCACCGCTCCCCCTGGCCGCACCGCCCCTGCTTTGCCCTGCCCCGCCCGCCCCGACCCGCCCCCACCTACCGCCGCGCGCGCACACTCACACACAAACGCACACACAAACTCACACATACAAGCATAGACAGCCCGAACCAACAACAACCAGCGACAGCAGCAACAGCAACAGCAGCAGCAACAACAACAATAACAAAAGCGGGGCCCCAACAGCGAACGTCGTTGGAGGACGTGTAAAGAAGAACAAGAACAAGCAGGCAGGCAGGCAGGCAGCCAGGCAAGCTCATCATGATGAAAAAACATAGAGCTGGCGGAGGGGGCGGGGCAGGGAAGGGGCGCAACATGGGCGTTCGCACCGCTTGAGCGTTAACCGCCCACAAGGAAAAAGGCAGCAACAGCAACCACATAGAAGAAAAACAACCAGAGGGCTAGTTGCACTATAGTGCTAGGCATGTACATACATACATATGTACATATGTATGTATTGCAGTACATACATATGTACAGGCATATGTATATGTGTGGACACGAAACCCAAGCGCGACAAAATTGCGATGCTGCTGCCCGCACTTTGGGGCAGGCGAAATGTGCTGCAAGAGCTGCTTAAATGCATTTTAAAATGCAGAAGATGGAACTGTTGATTGTCACGTGCCCGTCTCGTCCAGCCAAGTTCAAGGTCACAGCATAACAAATGGATGGCATATCGAAAGGATATCATAACGATGGTGCATTGTGCGAAGAGAGCTTCAAGAGAGTGATCTTAGCTTATCCTTATCAGCTTGGCTCAGGAGAGCTTTTTGTACCGCTAGGACAGCCGCTTTTGAGAGCGCCAAAGATGTGAATAGAGAGCGAAAGAGGTTCATGGGAAATGGGGTGGGTGGGGGGGTGAGAGAGAGGGGAGAGCAGGATGAGCGAAATTGAAGAGTGGGCGAGCCCGCTCAGAGGCGTACATGGAGCACCATGCGGAGAGGGGTTCACTGAAAACCTGTAAACCATTTCACGCAGCAATCATATACCCTGTACTTCTTGGAGCTAGTATCTAGCAGTACACCAATATTTACAACTAATTATTATCGCTTAAAATGCAAACGCTTTTAATATTTCAGCTTGATAATACTTGAGCCTTAAATTCTTTTAGCGCGAAGTGTCTGCCGCTGAGCCCCCTCCTTTCCTGCTGCTGGACTCGCTTTTGGTTCAGCCAAGTGGCTCCATCGATCCGCGTTCCTCAGCAAACCCCCTCCCACCCTCCTTCATCCCGCTCGTTTCCCTTCCCTGCCTCTTCTTCTTTTTCTTTTGCTGCTGCTGCTGCTGCTGGTGGTGCTGCTGCTGCTGCTGCGACTCTGGTTTTGTTGTTGCGAACCTACGACCAGTTAACTTACCTACCGCTTTGGCTCCTTCCAAACTAACACACAAGCACACACACACACACACTGGCGAATATTTAGCCAGGCGACGGCGCCTGTATGTGTGTGTGCTTGTGCGCTTTGGCTTTGGCTGCGTGTGTACGTTTGTATCTCTTCAGCTTGTGCGGGTTTTTTGTTGCTTTTATTATAAGTATTTTTTCGCTTTTCTCTCGTCTCGCCTCCTCTCCCTGCCTCTTCATCACCTCCTCTTCATCCTCCTGTTCGTACCCTCGTTCTGCTCCCCCTCCCCTGTCCGCCCCCACTCGCACTCGCAGCAGCGACGTCTCCGCCTCTGTGCCCCTCTGTCCCTCTCTCACTCACTCTTTTGGCACAAGTCCTGGCGGCCGGCTCTTGCTCTACCTCCCCCCTCACTCACTTCTGCCATCGCCAGCCCCTCCCTCTGGCACCCACAGCTCCCGGTTTGCCAGTTCCAAACGTCATCATCGCCGCCATCATCATCATCATCAACATCACCGTCATTATCGTCAACAGCCAGCCCCCAAACAGCAGGAAAAGCAACAACAACAAAAGGCATCAGTGGCAGCAGCAGCAGCAGCAGCACCATTTCGTGGAATGGGAGAGGGGCGCGTGTAGGAGGGGGAGGGGGAGGGTGAGCTGAAGTGGAAAGAGGGAGGGGATGGAGCAGCGGGCGGGTAGTGGGTCGCTGGGCGTTTTGGCGTTCGACGTCGAAGGCCTGGCTGCCACTCTGTACGTGTGTATGTATGGGTGTGTGTGGGCCGTTCCTTGTCTCTGTGTGTGAGTGTGTGTGTATGTGCGCTGCTGTGCGCTGCTGTGTGTAGCAGTGCCGCAGAAAGAGAGTGGGTGGGGTGTGGTGGGTTGGGGGTCTGCGGTGTTGTTGCCTGGAAGGGGGAGGTGGAGGTGGAGGGGGCTATGGTCTATGCCAGCTAGCTGGAAGGACGGAGCGATGGGCAGGGGGCGGTGAGCGGGGGAGAGCGGCCTACCGCCGCTGGTAAAGCTGTGCTGTTGTAGCTGCTGTTGATTGTTTTTGTAGTAGCTGCCGTCGCTGTGTTGTTGCCTTTCGCAAATCGATAAACGATGTCCGGACTGCGGAGTAGGCGAACGCTTTGCGTGTGCACATATGTATAACATACATATACATATACATGCGGTCGCCAGTATATATATGCATGTATATACATGCATGCATATGTACAAGCAACTGTATATGTAAGCACTTCAAATGCACATACATGTACACACGTACATATATACTGAATACATTGGTGTGCGTGTACCTAATGTAGGCGATTTTTATATGAACACCGCCTAACGGAGTTTTGATGCAATCTGCAACCAATACATACATATTTACTTAATTGTACACCACCTGATTGACCCCCAGGAACTATTTTGTATTTTGCGTTGATTAAGCCCCAAATTAAAGTTTTCTGAAGACATCGATTCAATTTAGAAGATTGTGGCAGCATTGGGCGCTTTGATATTATCAAATGACAATACTCATATATTTTTCTGCTAAATGTCCTTAGAAGTAACAAGTATATGTATTTCCTTTGCGCCCGAATAAATAAACCTGAATAACCTAAATCAATATATCGTTAATAATATTTAAGCAAAATTGTATGCATCTTACCTTAATTTGTTAAAATCAAGTTAAAAATCTTTTACAAATCACTGAATGACAAATGTTCTATTGTAAAGGATTCATTGCTTCCTTCAGGATTCCTGCATTGCTGGACATTTAACAAAATTATGTTCATTTTTTTTCTATGTTAAATATACATACATATTGAAGCTTGTCTGACCTTATTTAATTTTCATGTTCATCTTCCCAATAGCCCCACTTAAAGCCAACACCAGATATGGGTTCAAAATTTGAAAAATATTTGATACACATGGCCGATGGATTTTACAGCACATCGAACGATTCCGACTTCAAACTTGTCCGTGACTTTATACTACGTAAAATAGTAAAGTCTAATGATTTGTTGACCTCCACATTTAAGGTTGAAAGCTTCGATTTTGGTATGTAATAGGATGTGATGACAAATCATTATATACTATGCTTGCAATTCTTCACTTTTTAGGCAGCAGAGCTCTGGAAATCCATAATTCAGACAGCGATTACGACGTGATGATAGTGCTTGAGTTTCCCTATTTCAAGGATATTTTAGTGCGCCCGGACCAACATCGTCCTGGGATGTATCACTTTGACTTAAAGGATGTGCCCTATAACAGCTTCACAGCGGACAACCTGCTGGATGACCGCTGCTACCTACTCCGGGATAGTGTCCAAACCTTGATGCAGTGCGTCCTCATGAATGCCCACAACCATGACTGCAAATTTTATCGACTGCGGTATCGCCGCAAGTATAAGCGCCACACCATTATCGCCGAATCAAGTGGGCGTAGGTTCTCCATCAACTTTGTGCCAGCGATCAAGATCCACTACGAGAAATACGAGTGGCAGGCAATCCCGATGGAGGCGCCAGGACCAAAACGGTCAAACGGATGCACCTTTATGATGATCGACGCTAAATGTGAGATCAGTCTTTTTAAAGTGGGCGGCAAGAAGATCCGAGACGCCGTAATCTTGCTGAAGGCTATGTGCGAAGCCAAGAACCTGCCCAAGATTAAAAATTACCATTTGGTTACATTGGCCAACGAGCTAATAGATAGGGAGGATTTGGAAGACTTATCGTTGGAGTTTATCTTTCTAGACGTACGTAATATTACATATAACCATATAACACGGCCAGACTACGGTCTGGTTAGAATTCAATTAGGTATCTTAAAAATTTTTGTATTTTCTGATTAGCAGAACAAAGTGTTAATATTTGGACCTAACTGTGTCTGTCTGTACATTCTACAGCTACTCTACGATCTCGTCGATGCCTTTGAGAACAGGGACCTTCCGTACAACCTTTTGGAGGATCTGAATCTACTCACAAACTTCAACCCAAGTCAGCTCCTCGTTTATAGGGATGAACTGGATAGTGCTTACTCCACACTAAGAACCTATCCTGGACAAGAAAGTCTATCTTACGGACGGTGCAGCTGGCACTTTTTTGGTGATGATTCGGATTAAAATTTGTCAATGACCACATTCGGTTCTTATTTGGGACTAAAACTATAAGCTATAAACAAACTGTTTTATTGTAGCGGATTAATGGACAATAAAGATAAACCAACAATTTTTTTATATTAACTTCAATGCAATTGCAACTATTTCAATCCATGTGAGTAATGTGTCCCATTGGGCCAATAATGTCCACATCTTTGCTCGATGTCAACTGGCGATCCTTGATTTGCTGTTGCTGAAATAGCAGCTGCACCAGGATAATCACATAGTTGGCCATGCCGTTGTACACCTGCCAGGATACATAAAGTGAAAGATCAGAAAAGCACGCTTCTCCGCTGGTGAAGGTATCACCCACCACGTAGATGGTAGAAGTATTGAGTAATGTTGTGCTGCCCAATATTGCCGCCTGTCGGTTGTGCATGCGCCAATGCTGATAGTCCTCCGTCTGCCGGCGAGCCACATCCTGTCCGGAAAAGTATCGGGAGTATTGGCTCAACCAATGCATACAGTTGCGCTTCTAGAGATGAACAAGAGGCCCTATATCGATTGGCGCGTCTGCATCAGGTAAACAGGTCACCCACCTCTCGCTGAAGTAAATACCCATAGGTGCTAGTGATGACCACTTTGTAGGTGTGTATGGCCACGTGCAGCAACATGCAGGCGTACTCGAGGTCCCACGGCTCTCTCGCCAGCAACTTTTGGCAAATGACGTACACGAAGCAGGTCATGATAGTAAAATCGTAAAACATACCAGCCGCTGCGGCGAAACCAAAAACTCCATTTAGCTCCGCCAGGAGAAACGAACAGCGCTTGGACATATCGAAAAGATATGCAATCCTTTCGTGGACCTCTGGAGTTTCAACCGCTTGGTAAAGTTGGTGGAGCAGCTGCTGCACCAGACGCAGACGAACCCTTAGAAAGTCCATGATACCTATGTGCACGAAACCCAGCAGTCCTACGGAACTGGTCAGCAGGGAGTAGGTGAAAGCCATCAGCACGGTGGACGGTATGCCGCAGGTGCAACGCGTCGTATCGAAGATCAGTGAGATGGAAAAGGCGAGAAAGCAAAAGCCGATAATCATCGTGCCATACCAATACTTTAGGCGAGCTCGTTGATAGTTCCACTTTACATGAGGGAACACCCTCAAAAGAGATTGATCAAACTCTTGCATTTTAGCTATGAGTTTCAGGTGCCTCGCCCTCTGCAAGTCCAGCGAAAGGCAGTACTCAATGTAGGTGATCGAGCAGCTAAGGCACTCCCAGGTCAATATCGCCTTGACCAACGGGCTGAGGTGTCCAAACATGACAGCGGACATCTCGGGATCCCTCAGCTTAGTCATCACAATAGCCATAAAGCATGTAATCATAAAGAAGCGCGCGAACTGGGCATAGCACACAGTCCACCTGTTTGAGACCGCTCCTCCACGACCAGGACTCCGCACCCGGATTGTGGTCAATCCCCAGTAGAGCAGGAGGCTGTACAAATTTCCGTAACAGTAGACAAAGCCATCGTCGCGTTGCATGGCCCAACTAATGTAAATTTCGACTGGCCAAGCCGTATAGAGCTATTTATTCCCGCGCAGGGGTAATTATTATTGATTACACATAGATATGATCGGGCTAATTGAATACATCGTTTTGGCCGCCTCTACATGTCCGGTTGTTATACATATTGAAATTCATCTTTAAACAAATGTGAACTGGCGTGCCTTACTACGGGAATTTGAGTTGGCGGTGGTGCTGTTGGCGGAGCTGTTCGAGTTGGGTGCAGTGCGTCGCAGCGCCTTTTGCAGTACATGAGCGTCCGCCGGCTCGATGCGCTTATAGTATTGCTCCTTGGTGTCAACGATCTCGAAACCAAACTTCTTGTAGAACTCAATGGCTCCATTGTTGTTGATTTGCACATGTCTAAAATTTTAACAAGATTTAATAAGCATGCTCTAGAGAATTTTTGAGATAAACCAATTTCTTGGGTATAACAATTTGGCAAACAATATTCTTGAGACAAAAATAGCTGGTTTTCGTTGAAAGCATTTTAAACAAACCGTATCATGAACGTTTAAAAATTTAAACTAGGGACAATATACATATGTTTCATTAATACAGAATTCTTTATAAGCCAGAAATGTAATGTCCAACTTAAATCGGGGTAATTAATATCAAATCCAAAGAAAATCTACTAAATTGCAACCCAAGGTTTTCAAAAATGCACGAGTTTTCTTACAGGAAAATGCTGTCAAAGTTTCCATCCTTCTCGGCGAAGTTCATGATGTGCTCGAACATGACTGTGCCGATGCCCAGTCGGCGGTACGGGGAGAGGCATCCCAGGGTCATGATGTACAGGCGCCGCTGGTTCTCGGTGGTGTCGATGCGGCAGCAGACGGCGCCCACCACAATGTCATTGTAGTAGGCCAATTTTGCCAGTTCGCCGGCCTCCAGGACATCCACGTAGAACTTGTCGTTGTACGAGACCGGGAAAACCACGGTGTTCAGCTTCTTCAGCTGCTTGATGTTGTGCGGCGTCACATCGCCCAGTTCGATGCTGCTCCTGCAAGCAGGAAAGGTTAGGGAGATGGGTTAGCTTTTCCGAAACAAGCGGCACTTTTAGGTTATGATTCCGGGACATCTCTTGCAGTCACGATCCTCCAAATGGCCACCAAGGATACCCACTCACCTAGTCATGATATCTGTCTTTTCCTGTTACTTTAGAAACGCGCCTAGCGCCAAAAATTCTAATAGAAAAATGTGTTTTAAGCGCCTCAGCTGTTCCTGATTGTCCGGGTTGCAGGTCGCAATTTATCGGTTATCGGTTATTGACGCCGGCCATTGAGCAGCCCAAATAGCCATTTTATAGCAATAAAAAGGAAAATTTGTTTTGTTTTTCCTTTCGAAAGAAAAATAATTAATTGAGAAATTGAGAAATTAATTGAGATATTTAAGATCCATCTGTGATTCTACATGTTCGTACAATGCTTACATAAAACATTGCATATCGTATTTTTGGCATATGTACACACTAATTGAGCTAATAGTTATTTCCGGTCTATTATCAAAAGCTATCAAAAAAAATCTGTTAGAATATGAATATTTTCAATAATGACAAGCTTTGAGTTTCAACAGAGATTGTTGCATAAACTTATTCGTGGTAAGTAATGCAATAGCTAAATTTTGTATATCTGTAATTATTAGAAACAATACGGGGTAATCCATTTATGCAAGACTAGTTTTTTAGAGATTTTATTAATTTAATGTACAAATTTTATATTCCTTAGCGACTTTTACATTATATTATAGTTATATGATTATATTATTATTATATTTGATATTCGCCATGAGTTATCGAACGCGAATGTGAGAAATCTCCTAACGGGTTCTGCAGAAAAAAAGAAAACAATTCGCGGCTGTTTAATATTTTCCTCCTCCAATATCCATCGATTTTGAGTGCCAAATGAATCCCAACATGAACATGATGCCCATGGCTGGGCCACAGATGATGCAGGTGATGCAATCCTCGCCCTCGGGACCCCCAGGACCCGTGCAGCATCAACAGCAGCAACCGCCGCAGCCACTGCAACAGCAGCAGCAGCAGGCTGAAAAATTGGACAACATTTCCAGGGTGAAAAGTTTGCTGGGACCACTGCGGGAGTCCATGTTCCTCACGATCCGGTCGAGCGCCTTCACGCTGCAGCAGAACAATCTGGCGGACAACTTGAAGAGGGACACGGGTGCCCACCACGTACCGCGGTTCGACAAGCACTTGGAAGACTTTTACGCCTGCTGCGACCAGATCGAGATCCACTTGAAGACGGCGATGCAGTGCCTCCAGCAGCAGAACTCCTCCAATCACTATCTCCCCGGTCCGGTGACGCCCATGCGCATGGAGACCTTTATGCCGGACAACGCCGGCCCCATTCCGTATCCCACCTACTTGAACACGGTCCGCGTTCACATACAGTCCGCCAAGGATATACAAGATACTCTGATTAGCGCCGCGCAGAACATTTCGCAGGCTGATTGATAGTTATAGTAGCATTAGGTTTTATTATTTGCCACGCCTGAGCTTAAGTTAAGTAAATAAATATCCTTAGTTGTAAGATAACAATGATATTCAGAGGACTGCATACTTTGGGGAACAGGCCTAAGGTTTTTAGAGACGGAAGGGTAAGGTTGCGAACGACTTGGAAAAGAATAAAATACATATGGTCATTGATATGCAAATAGAAAGCTAGTTACACGACAATATTGAAAAAAAAAAAACTTGTATTGCTTTAACAATTCTGGAAATGTTTGCAGTGAGAACGCGTTGCAGCAGCCGATGAGTAACTGCGCATCCAGTGAGAAAGCGCTAAAAATTCGATAGACAACAGTCAGACGTGTCACAATTAGAACGCAAAAGCAAAACACTGCGGTGCCGCGCATTTATTTACAACCAAGGAAGCGGTAAGGTCTCAAAGTGTTGTAAACTATGCGCAAGCCGATTATTTATTTACCTTTTTCGATCCTCAGCTTATTAAACCAGAGAAAATGGCAGATGAACAACCAAATCTTGTGGCCGGACACCCACCTGCATGTAAGTGCACTTGCATTGGTGTGTGTAGGTGCATGCGATGTTTTCTTCTTTGGCAGCAATAGAATCTTATAAAAACAAAGTGCCTTGCTGGCAATTCATAATGCACTCAATCCAATCAATTGTCAGAATATCTGCGCCCTTATCAGTATCTTAACCTGTTTCGACCAAAGCTGATAAGTAAACAAACAAGAACACACACACGCACACCTACGCCGACAAAGGCACAGCTTTCAAAGAATGTATGCTTGTAGTTGTAATTGTATTTATGCTGACGTCAGATGCAATTCAAATAATATCGTTAACTAAAAAAGGGCATTATTCTTTTTTAAGCATGCTTTAACTCCTTATTCCTTTTAAGCAACAACAACCTTAATATAAGAGATAGCTATAAACGTTTATAAAAATGCCCTTGTCTAGATCATTTTCGTACAATAGTGTTACTTTTCATGATTTTTAACTTTGATTTAACTTTTGTTGTTTGCACGGCTTTAATCAGGTACTGTGGACTGAAAGAATGAGAAAGACATGCATCATTTGTTGTCCACCCTGATCAGCTTTATTTATATTTTGAAATATATATACATTTTTTTTAAATTACAGTGAAGGCTGGAGGCATGCGAATTGTGCAGCACAAGGCGCCCACGGCAGAACGTGCGCCCAAGGATGCAGAGGATTGCACTGGACTGACAGTGAGTTCTTGACTTAAATATGTAATATTCAATTTGCACTTACTCATCCATTCCTCCAAAGCAACCCATTGCCGTGAACTCCGGCTCTGTGAGCGGTGCCCCCGTCAAGGGCAACACCGATTTTACGCCCGCCTCCGCCCAGGTGGCCCACTCGCCCAAGCCACCGGCTGCAGTGCAGCAGAAGCCCCAGATCCACATCCAGCAGCCACGCAAGTGATGCGGACGCCGGCCAAAAAAACTATTATCATTATCCAATCTCTTTGATCTTTTATTGAAATTCTATGAGTCCTCTCAACGGTATTGAAGTCGCCTGTGAATGCGATATTTACTTTATATTTTATATGCATTTGTCACTGCATTCCATTTATTAAAAATGCTGATTTCTTGAGTTAATATTTTGTAATAAACTGTATCCCTTTTATAGATTTCAAGACTTTCGTTTCGAAAAGGTTTTAATACATACCTAAGCCAAGTCGTCGTATCAAAGGGTGTTTCTTGTGTGCATGGATAACGTAAAACATTGACCACTGAGACTTAAGAGACTAAGTCTACATGAGACTCCCTCTTTCTGTGCCCAAATTCACTGCCATGTCGTCCGATGTTATCTTTATTGCCGTCAGATCTTCTGGAATCTGCCCCACACGTACTCTTAAAATTCCCAAGTGCTTATTCAGCACAACGTGCATATAAGTAAGGAAATTCTAACATGCTAAATGCCCCACTGAGCTTCGGTGGTCCGGGGTGCGGACTTCAAATCCGTAGTCGATTAGCGTCGAAGTGGTTCGATTCCACCTGGGGGGCGAATATAAATATATTGGTTTTTGAAATTTTTAAACATGGTCTTTATTTTGCAGAATCTGTTCATATGGCATTGGCCGCCTTCACTATCCATGGTCGCAGAAAGGCCACATCGGCATAGACACCGGGGTAGTTGTCATCCACACACCGGTAGCCCCAGGATACAATGCCCACCAGCTGGCTACTGGCCACCAAAGGACCTCCAGCGTCTCCTGTACAGGCATCTGCATCAGTGCTGGCGGCACATATTGTTTCCTCGCCCACAAAATCCGCACCATAGCCAAACTTTGGCGAGGCACACTCGCCGCGATCGATGATCTGCAGCTGGGCCTTCTGCAGGCTATCGGACAGGGCTCCATTGTCGGTGTGGCCCCAACCCGTGACAGTGACTGTCGTTCCACCCGTTGGACTCTTACTGGCCAAATTGATGGCTCTGGTGGAGAGGCCAAAGGTCAGTGGAGTGGACAGGCGAAGTACGGCAATGTCGTAGTGCAGGAAACGGGAATCAAACTGCTCGTGGACTTGGTACGCCGCCACGGGAACCAATGTGCCGCCATAGTTGTGATTCTCTGCGCCCACACGTACCTTCATCAGGGACACGGATTTCTCATGTAGACAGTGTCCGGCCGTGATGATGATCTCCTTGCTGTAGATGACTCCGCCGCACTCGTGGCGCGCACTGATCTGAATGGACACCTGCCAGGGGGCATTACGAATCAGCTGGTTGCTACCGCCCACAATTCGTCCAGTGGTCTCCACATCTGATGCCTCTCCGAGCAGCAAAAGGACCAGCACCGCACCCACTATCCCGCAAACAGCCATTCCGAAAGCCAAGTGCAAACTGCTTCTATTTGTTCACGAAACCGTTTCATGACGGGCTTTTTACTAGGGCTGTAAAAGTTAATCTTCGGCTTATCGCTAGTATTACTGATACCCTCGAATGGAATTGGTCAGCTCTACTCCTTACTCGGTTTTCTAGTTCGATATGAAAACACGTTGCCCAGGCAACAAATGCCAAACAAATTTACATTGCAGTCGTGAATATCGAACAAAGGACTTTTACTTCAGAATACCGACATGGATAACTGGAAGATAACCGCGGAGGAGCTTGTTCGTCTGCGGGAAACCTGCTTGCAGTGCATCCGCGATGGAGAACTCTATGAGCTGCGCAACGATGCCAAACTTAGGGCTGTTTATAACACCCATAGCTACGACGAATTCAAGTAAGTAACAAATAAATACATGTCTGAACTTAGAAAATCCGTATGAGCCAAATGCCAATAGGAACATAGTGGATGCGGCCCATCTTCGCCCAGTGACCAAGAGCGACAAGGCCAATTTTCAGACGAAGAACCGACTATGGAACTCGGCGGCCCGGGATTAATTTGTTAATTGGGCAATAAAGTTATAAGACAAAGGTTATAGTCAAAATAATCGTTTTACTTCGCAAAATGCTTAGGCGTTCCTGACCACCCAGGCGCGGAGGTCAGCCACGCTGGCGTAGACACCGGGGTAGTTGGAGTAAGCGCATCCTTGTCCCCAGGAGACAACACCGACAAGAACTCCGCCGGAGACCAGTGGGCCACCGGAGTCACCCTGGCAGGCATCCTTGCCGCTGGCAGCAGCACAGATCATGGTGTCGCGGATGTCGCTACCATATCCGTAGGTGGAGGAAGCACACCTGCTCTGGCTGACGATGTTCACGTTCACGTACTGCAGCTGGGAGGGGATGGAGTTGGATCCGGACGACTGAGTGCCCCATCCGGAGACGGAAGCAGCAGCGCCGTTGGGGGGGTTGGAGCTAGCCAGAGAGATGGACTTGATGGTGGAGCTGAAGCTCAGGGAGGAGCTCAGACGGATCACAGCGATGTCGTTGACCATGGTTCTGGCGCTGTATCCCTCGTGGTTCTTGAAAGAGGAAACCTTGACGGTGACGCCACCAGAGTTCCAGTAGCTGGATCCAGCGCGGATCTGCAGGGAGGAGGTGGACACGGACTGCAGACAGTGAGCGGCGGTCACGATCACCCTGTCGGTGTAGATGGATCCACCGCAGGAGTGGCTTCCACTGCGCTGCAGGGAGATCTGCCAGGGGAAGCTGCTGATGGTGGTAGCAGTACCGCCGACAATGCGGCCATCCAACTGGGGCAGGAGACCCTCGGGGATGGTGGCTCCCAGGGCGCAGGCTACTGCAGACAACAAGATCACGAACTTCAGCATGGTGCGAATCCAATGAGTTTACTCTGAGCTGGACACCCCTTTTATACAATGCTCCTATCTCTTTGCGGCGTTCTAATCAAAAAATTTCAATTATTTTTATCATTTGAGTGTAAGGGTAATCCAAAGTATTTTTAATATGTGTGACCGAAAGATAGATTTCGCGAATAAGAAGTGTATTTCTATACGTACAATAAGATTTGTGCGTCACGACTTTTTATTTTGCTGGGAGTTGGTAATTTTAATAGCTTGAAAAAGGTAGCTAAAAAGAGATATCGGTTTTATTATCATAAAAAAGGAATGCAATTTTTCTTAAAAATTTAATTTTTACAAAACTAACAAACTCGAGTTCCCCGACTATCAGTTACCCGTTACTCAGCTAGTGAAAGTGCAAACGAGGAATTTCAACATTTTCTGGAATATCGGTAGAAATTGGGAAAAAATAATAAAATGGAAAAAAAAATAAAATTCTAAATTTGAATGCAGATTTTTAGAAAATTGCTCCAGAAACGTTTAGAGGTATGCCACTTCAAAATCCGATTAAGATAAGTGGAGTTATGGAGTTTTGAACTTCAGCCTTAGGACATTTCTTAACTTTGTTGAATTTCTACACATCATAACATCAACAAAAATTACAAAAAAATTAAAAAAAAATAAATTTCTAAATTTGAATGCAGTTTTTTAGAGAATTACGCCAGAAACATTTAGAGGTATGCCACTTCAAAATCCGATTAAGATAAGTTGAGTTATGGAGTTTTGAACTTCAGCCTTAGGACATTTCTTAACTTTGTTGAATTTCTACACATCATAACATCAAAAAAATTACAAAAAAATTAAAAAAAAATAAATTTCTAAATTTGAATGCAGTTTTTTAGAGAATTGCGCCAGAAACATTTAGAGGTATGCCACTTCAAAATCCGATGAAGATGAGTTGAGTTATGGAGTTTTGAACTTCAGCTTTGGGACATTTCTTAACTTTGTTGAATTTCTACACATCATAACATCAAAAAAATTACAAAAATATTTCAAAAAATAAATTTTTAAATTTGAATGCAGTTTTTTAGAGAATTGCGCCAGAAACATTTAGAGGTATGCCACTTCAAAATCCGATGAAGATGAGTTGAGTTATGGAGTTTTGAACTTCAGCTTTGGGACATTTCTTAACTTTGTTGAATTTCTACACATCATAACATCAAAAAAATTACAAAAATATTTCAAAAAAATAAATTTTTAAATTTGAATGCAGTTTTTTAGAGAATTGCGCCAGAAACATTTAGAGGTATGCCACTTCAAAATCCGATTAAGATTAGTTGAGTTATGGAGTTTTGAACTTCAGCTTTGGAACATTTCTTAACTTTGTTGAATTTCTACACATCATAACATCAAAAAAATTACAAAAAAATTAAAAAAAAATAAATTTCTAAATTTGAATGCAGTTTTTTAGAGAATTACGCCAGAAACATTTAGAGGTATGCCACTTCAAAATCCGATTAAGATTAGTTGAGTTATGGAGTTTTTAACTTCAGCTTTGGGACATTTCTTAACTTTGTTGAATTTCTACACATCATAACATCAAAAAAATTAAAAAAAAATAAATTTCTAAATTTGAATGCAGTTTTTTAGAGTATTTCGTCAGAAACATTTAGAGGCATGCCACTTCAAAATCCGATTAAGATTAGTTGAGTTATGGAGTTTTGAACTTCAGCTTTGGAACATTTCTTAACTTTGTTGAATTTCTACACATCATAACATCAAAAAAATTACAAAAAAATTAAAAAAAAATAAATTTCTAAATTTGAATGCAGTTTTTTAGAGAATTACGCCAGAAACATTTAGAGGTATGCCACTTCAAAATCCGATTAAGATTAGTTGAGTTATGGAGTTTTTAACTTCAGCTTTGGGACATTTCTTAACTTTGTTGAATTTCTACACATCATAACATCAAAAAAATTAAAAAAAAATAAATTTCTAAATTTGAATGCAGTTTTTTAGAGTATTTCGTCAGAAACATTTAGAGGCATGCCACTTCAAAATCCGATTAAGATTAGTTGAGTTATGGAGTTTTGAACTTCAGCTTTGGAACATTTCTTAACTTTGTTGAATTTCTACACATCATAACATCAAAAAAATTACAAAAAAATTTTAAAAAAATAAATTTCTAAATTTGAATGCAGTTTTTTAGAGAATTACGCCAGAAACATTTAGAGGTATGCCACTTCAAAATCCGATTAAGATTAGTTGAGTTATGGAGTTTTTAACTTCAGCTTTGGGACATTTCTTAACTTTGTTGAATTTCTACACATCATAACATCAAAAAAATTACAAAAAAATTAAAAAAAAATAAATTTCTAAATTTGAATGCAGTTTTTTAGAGAATTGCGCCAGAAACATTTAGAGGTATGCCACTTCAAAATCCGATGAAGATGAGTTGAGTTATGGAGTTTTGAACTTCAGCTTTGGGACATTTCTTAACTTTGTTGAATTTCTACACATCATAACATCAAAAAAATTACAAAAATATTTCAAAAAAATAAATTTTTAAATTTGAATGCAGTTTTTTAGAGAATTGCGCCAGAAACATTTAGAGGTATGCCACTTCAAAATCCGATTAAGATTAGTTGAGTTATGGAGTTTTGAACTTCAGCTTTGGAACATTTCTTAACTTTGTTGAATTTCTACACATCATAACATCAAAAAAATTACAAAAAAATTTAAAAAAAATAAATTTCTAAATTTGAATGCAGTTTTTTAGAGAATTACGCCAGAAACATTTAGAGGTATGCCACTTCAAAATCCGATTAAGATTAGTTGAGTTATGGAGTTTTTAACTTCAGCTTTGGGACATTTCTTAACTTTGTTGAATTTCTACACATCATAACATCAAAAAAATTACAAAAAAATTAAAAAAAAATAAATTTCTAAATTTGAATGCAGTTTTTTAGAGTATTTCGTCAGAAACATTTAGAGGCATGCCACTTCAAAATCCGATTAAGATAAGTTGAGTTATGGAGTATAGAAATTCAGCCGCTAGGGTATATTACCTTTAGTTTTAGGAAGTTAGTTTCCTTTCATGGACAGAACTGTTTTTGTATAATTTGGCAGGCAATTCAATGAAGTTTTTATCATATATCACAACATTTAATGTGGTACCTCTGCTTGGTAATTATTAAATTCCTCTAAAATATTTCACAAAAGATACATATTTGTACAAATTTAATATGTTTTTTATACTTTTAATACTTATACATGACTTACACCTTAATATTCAAAAATAAATATTAAACCAATGTATTAATAATTAAGTAGTACTTTACAAATGGAATATAATAAATAGAAGGAGAATTAATTAGAAAGGTGCTGAAAGTAGCTTTAATTCCCTTGCATATTTATTTCTTTTTGTGATAACGAGCCGCGCGACTCGAATTATGGAATATCATTCGGGCACTTCAACGAAATCTTTTGGGTTTTCCTGATACTCAGATGATAAAAATAATTGAAAGTTGTGATTATAGTGCCGCGAACAGATTGAAACCTCGTATAAAAGGGGTGTCCAGCTCAGAGTAAACTCATTGGATTCGCACCATGCTGAAGTTCGTGATCTTGTTGTCTGCAGTAGCCTGCGCCCTGGGAGCCACCATCCCCGAGGGTCTCCTGCCCCAGTTGGATGGCCGCATTGTCGGCGGTACTGCTACCACCATCAGCAGCTTCCCCTGGCAGATCTCCCTGCAGCGCAGTGGAAGCCACTCCTGCGGTGGATCCATCTACACCGACAGGGTGATCGTGACCGCCGCTCACTGTCTGCAGTCCGTGTCCGCCTCCTCCCTCCAGATCCGCGCTGGATCCAGCTACTGGAGCTCTGGTGGCGTCACCGTCAAGGTTTCCTCTTTCAAGAACCACGAGGGATACAGCGCCAGAACCATGGTCAACGACATCGCTGTGATCCGTCTGAGCTCCTCCCTGAGCTTCAGCTCCACCATCAAGTCCATCTCTCTGGCTAGCTCCAACCCCCCCAACGGCGCTGCTGCTTCCGTCTCCGGATGGGGCACTCAGTCGTCCGGATCCAACTCCATCCCCTCCCAGCTGCAGTACGTGAACGTGAACATCGTCAGCCAGAGCAGGTGTGCTTCCTCCACCTACGGATACGGTAGCGACATCCGCGACACCATGATCTGTGCTGCTGCCAGCGGCAAGGATGCCTGCCAGGGTGACTCCGGTGGCCCACTGGTCTCCGGCGGAGTTCTTGTCGGTGTTGTCTCCTGGGGACAAGGATGCGCTTACTCCAACTACCCCGGTGTCTACGCCAGCGTGGCTGACCTCCGCGCCTGGGTGGTCAGGAACGCCTAAGCATTTTGCGAAATAAATTTGAATTTAAAGATTACTCATTTTGGCTTTCTTCAATTTTGTGATATATTACTGTTTCAAAGTAAATTCAAAGAGTAGGCTAAAAAAGAGAAAACTTCTAGTCACCTCCTGAAAGAGATCAAAAACCCAGCGTAGATCTCAATGGGTAGGACACAAAGAGACGACACTAAGCTGGAGTAACGAACCAATTTGGGCCCATTAATAAAACAATTTTAAGTAGTACCCTCAACAAGTCCTGTTTTCAAGAATCTCAGCAAGGATTTCGTAGTGGGACATACACTTTAAAATTCTACCACATTAAATCATTTAAAAAACATTATCAATTTGTTTGGGGCAATAATGTTAATCGTTTAAAAATTTGTGGTTAAGGCAGGTCGACTGGAATAATCTTCTATTTTGACTTGAATCCATAAAATCTTTGGGCCCATTTTAAATTTATGCCGACCGAAGTCACTCTTAAAGTGTTTACCAGTTGGTAATATAGATTCGTTGAAAAGTATGTATTATGTAGAATGATGCGTACCCGACCCTATAAAATACATCAATTCTTGATCAGGATCAAGCTTTTCCTATCCGTCTATGGTAGTGATCTCGAGAACTAATAATACTTTAAAGATGTTGTTCAAAATGCAAGTTTGTTTCTGAATAATGCCCAGCCGATTTTAATTCCCATTACGCCCATAATCCTCAGGGCTTTCTAAAAGAGTAAATATCTATCTACTTTTCAGAACGGACCATTCATCAAAAACTTATGGGCATTAATCCTGGAAGCAGTCCTTTTGCTGTCTAAAATTCATTGGACTCGAATCTTTATGAGCAAAAAATGTGAGTCCTATTTTTTAACCACGACCATCATTTGAAAAAACTGGAGCCCATCATGAACTGTTTATAAATCATTTATTTCGAAAAAAATGCTTAGGCGTTGTTGATCACCCAGGAGCGGAGGTCAGCCACGCTGGCGTAGACACCGGGGTAGTTGGAGTAAGCGCATCCGTATCCCCAGGAGACAACACCGACGAGGACTCCGCCGGAGACCAGTGGGCCACCGGAGTCACCCTGGCAGGCATCCTTGCCGCTGGCAGCAGCGCAGATCATGGTGTTGCGGATCTCGCTACCGTATCCATAGGCGGAGGAAGCACACTTGCTCTGGCTGACGATGTTCACGTTCACGTACTGCAGCTGGGAGGGGATGGAGCTGGATCCGGACGACTGAGTGCCCCATCCGGAGACGGAGGCAGCAGCGCCGTTGGCGGGGTTGGAGCTAGCCAGAGAGATGGACTTGATGGTGGAGCTGAAGCCCAAGGAGGAGCTCAGACGGATCACAGCGATGTCGTTGACCATGGTGTTGGGATTGTATCCCTCGTGGTTCTTGAAAGAGGAAACCTTGACGGTGACGCCACCAGAGCTCCAGTAGCTGGATCCAGCGCGGATCTGGAGGGAGGAGGCGGACACGGACTGCAGACAGTGAGCGGCGGTCACGATCACCCTGTCGGTGTAGATGGATCCACCGCAGGAGTGGCTTCCACTGCGCTGCAGGGAGATCTGCCAGGGGAAGCTGCTGATGGTGGTAGCAGTACCGCCGACAATGCGGCCATCCAACTGGGGCAGGAGACCCTCGGGGATGGTGCCTCCCAGGGCACAGGCTACGGCCGACAACAGGATCACGAACTTCAGCATGGTGCGATTGAATGAATACTCTTCGAATCGCAAAGTGTGCTTTTATAGGGGTCACTATCTCGGCGGACAGTTAATCAATGGACAAGTGAGATTCCGCGTGTCTAAAGTGGATAACGACGTGGAGTGGTCGTCGTCTGATAAGCTGATTACTTCCAAATATCCCCGTCGATATCGACGGTAACAATGACGCAACAGTTATGCTGAACTTGTAGCTGTCAATCATGCGCGGATATTTGCTGCGGGGACCGTATAAAAGCGGGTTGGATCCGGGAATCAGCATACAATCGATTAACATGTTGAAAATCGCAGTACTTCTTTCCGTTTTGGCTTGCGCCTTGGCAGGCACCATTCCCGATGGGCTTCTGCCCCAGTTGGATGGCCGTATCGTCGGAGGTTACGAGACCAGCATCGATGCCCATCCCTACCAGGTGTCCTTGCAGCGCTTTGGATCCCACTTCTGCGGTGGATCGATCTACTCCCACGACATCGTGATCACCGCCGCTCACTGCCTGCAGTCGGTTGATGCCAAGGACCTGAAGATCCGTGTGGGCAGCACCTACTGGCGCTCCGGCGGCAGTGTCCACTCCGTTCGCTCCTTCCGCAACCACGAGGGCTACAACGCACGCACCATGGTTAACGACATTGCCATTGTTCGCATCGAGTCCGACCTGAGCTTCCGCTCCAGCATCCGTGCGGTCCGTATTGCCGACCACAACCCTCGTGAGGGCGCCACCGCCGTGGTTTCCGGCTGGGGCACCACCGAGTCCGGTGGCAGCACCATTCCCGACCATCTGCTGGCCGTTGATCTGGAGATCGTCGATGTGTCCCGTTGCCGCTCCGGCGAGTTCGGTTACGGTAAGAAGATCAAGGACACCATGCTCTGCGCCTACGCCCCCAACAAGGATGCCTGCCAGGGTGACTCCGGTGGCCCTCTTGTCTCCGGCGACCGCCTTGTCGGCGTTGTGTCCTGGGGCTATGGATGCGGTGATGTGAGGTACCCCGGTGTCTACGCCGATGTTGCCCACTTCCACGAGTGGATCGAGAAGACCGCCAGGGAGGTGTAAAGCCAAACAAACACTTCAAATAAATCGCAATTGAATCAGCATTGGTATCTGTTTCTCTATTTGGGCCCAATTGCGTCGCAGGTGTAAGCCCTCGAACTTGCGGCTAGATAAGACCTGTAGCGTGGGCTGTATATAAGGCTGGACGGGCGGCATGTAACCTAGCACTTGCTAGCAAAGCCCACCATGCTGAAGATCGTGATCCTGTTGTCCGCCGTGGTCTGCGCCCTGGGAGGCACCGTCCCTGAGGGACTCCTGCCCCAGTTGGATGGCCGCATTGTCGGCGGCTCTGCTACCACCATCAGCAGCTTCCCCTGGCAGATCTCCCTGCAGCGCAGTGGAAGCCACTCCTGCGGTGGATCCGTCTACTCTGCCAACATCATTGTGACCGCCGCCCACTGCCTGCAGTCCGTGTCCGCCTCCTCCCTGCAGGTGCGCGCCGGATCCACCTACTGGAGCTCTGGCGGAGTCGTCGCCAAGGTGGCCGCCTTCCGCAACCACGAGGGATACAACGCCAACACCATGGTCAATGACATCGCCGTCATCCGACTTAGCTCCTCCCTCAGCTTCAGCTCAAGCATCAAGGCTATTGCCCTGGCCACCTACAACCCAGCCAACGGAGCCGCTGCCGCTGTTTCCGGTTGGGGTACCCAGTCCTCCGGATCCAACTCCATCCCCTCCCAGCTGCAGTACGTGAACGTGAACATCGTCAGCCAGAGCAAGTGTGCTTCCTCCACCTACGGATACGGTAGCGAGATCCGCAACACCATGATCTGTGCTGCTGCCAGCGGCAAGGATGCCTGCCAGGGTGACTCCGGTGGCCCACTGGTCTCCGGCGGAGTCCTCGTCGGTGTTGTCTCCTGGGGATACGGATGTGCTTACTCCAACTACCCCGGTGTCTACGCCGATGTTGCTGTCCTCCGCTCCTGGGTGATCAGCAATGCCAACAGCATCTAAGCGGATAACCTGTGGGTTGGATGTGTCAAATTCCTTCAATAAATATTTGGCATGCAGAACATAGATAATTTGTACTTGGCACATTAACCTTAAGATGGTTTATGGATGGCTTACTCCTAACTTAAGTAGGAGGTTAAATCTGAAGGGAGAGGAAGAAGTTAGGTGTTCCTTGAAGTATTACACGTACTCCTTATTACAGCTTACGTATTATTGAATTACCAATGAGGAAATAACGTCACAGGTCTTATCTTGTTTGGGGTTTACGGGTATTCACATTTGGTACCCGTGATTTCCACCGATTTCAATGGGCTCGAGTGGCTAAGGGTAAACATTTGTCCAGGACCAATCTAATCAACCTCGAGTGCATCGCGTGGCTGGGGTTTCAATTCATCTTTCATTAATAAGTTGAGTGATGGTCTGGACAGGTGTGGCAAGATTAATTAGCCGGCAAAATGAAATAGATAAGATTGCACAGATTTGGACTCTCGAAGTTGAACGTTTTGCTGAACCGTGACTGGTTGAATACTGTGAATAGATAGTAGAAATTTATTTTTCTGCTGTTTTCCTAATATTTGTGAATTAATTGCAGCAACAATTGCAGAAGTATAAACAATTTGCAAATGGTAATCTCAATATTTGGGGTCGAAAAAAAGTTCCATTATCAATTCCATAATAAAGTTGATTTTTGCCATTTTTAGTTTGAAATGTTGATTGGCAGAGTGCCACCCCTTACTTTAACGGGTATTTCCAGCCCGACGGCGCATTGGTAACATTTGGGTTATTGTGTGTGCTTTTAATGACCAATCAAAATTGTTTCTGGTATGACATAACCTACTTTTGGAATTACGTGTCGTAGGAATCACCTTCTCCATTTCGGGAATACGGTAAAAGTTATTTATTTTCATGTGAAATTTCCAGCAAACCTCAATTAGTCAATTAGCCAATATCCATGAAACCCAATGTCATGTGTCGATGAGCTCAAATCCATATCTATGTTACTATACGAGAAAGAATGTCAGAACATTGGTGTGAAAGGAAAGGAAATATATTCTAGTCAATATCTTTGTAACACGAAATGTATCTATGCATGTAGTTTTCGGATATTAATCTTTATCGATGTCATAAACGTCGTATTTGTGCCATCGCTCGTTTTTTAAACGGGAACATAGTAAAGGCGTGTCTTGGTAAAAGCTCCTCTAATCACCTAGAATGACAAGGTCAATATATGAGGACAAGCAATCTATATCTAATGACAACCGCTGAAGTGCCGACTTCCGAGTTTCGACTGGTGCGCTCTCTTTGATTGATAGCAAGTCCCATTGATAAGGAACAAGCCGACTGCCTTCGATTGCAGAGTATGCTAATTCCACGGATCAAAAGATCGACTGATACTGTCGGCTGGCCACTCAATGGCTGGCATTGCACCCACTTCATCGCCTGGCTGGAAGGTTATAAATACCTGCCATGGCTCGCTGATGGGCCAGTGTTTGTCCAGAATGCACGGATTAGTGGTACTGCTAGTTTGCCTGGCCGTGGGTACCGCCTTTGCTGGCACAGTTGGGGTCTCCAATGCTGATCCCTTCGAGCGCGAAGGCCGCATTGTGGGCGGCGAGGATACCACAATCCGAGCGCATCCCTATCAGGTTTCCTTGCAGAACAAGAAAGGCTCCCACTTCTGTGGTGGCAGTTTGATCAACGAGGACACTGTGGTCACAGCGGCCCACTGTCTGGTGGGAAAGAAGATCGCCAAGGTGTTCGTGCGACTCGGTTCCACGCTCTACAATGAGGGCGGAATAGTGGTTGCTGTCCGGGCGTTGACCTACAATGCGGACTACAGCTCCAAGACCATGGAGAACGACGTGGGCATACTGAAGCTGGCCGAAAAGGTGAAGGAAACCGATGATATTCGATACATCGAACTGGCCACAGAAACTCCGCCCACTGGCACCACCGCCGTGGTCACCGGCTGGGGTTCCAAGTGCTACTTCTGGTGCATGACCCTGCCCAAGACGCTCCAGGCGGTCTACGTGAACATTGTCGACTGGAGGACCTGCGCCTCGGATGAGTACAAGTACGGCGAGGTCATCTACGACACCATGGTGTGCGCCTATGAGAAGAAGAAGGACGCCTGTCAAGGCGATTCCGGTGGTCCTCTGGCGATCGGTAACACTCTCGTGGGAATCGTATCCTGGGGATATGCCTGTGCATCCAACCTGCTACCCGGTGTTTACTCCGATGTGCCAGCTTTGCGAAAGTGGATCCTGAACGCGAGTGAAACTTTGTAGATACATCCAATAGACGGGCATACTTTCGGGCATTATTCAGCGATTCACAATCAGAAAGTTTGCAGGCCCATCTAATTGTTTTAAGCTTCACATGGATGATACACTGATGATTCATTAACATACATATTTGTGGCAAATTCGGTTTTCCGTCTTTCCTTTCTGGCCAAATCGATGTCTACCAGTAAAAATATCCTTTACATGATTATATTACTTTTGTATATTTTAATCAGCCATGCCAATTTGTAGTATTTCTCTTCATTCACATTTCATTTAGCCAATTGAAGCTTTTTATTGCTTCAAGTGGCACTTAAATATTTGATCACATTGATCACACTCCTAGACTAAGGTTAATATTCTTAGTCAGCAATGGTGACAGAGCTACCGCTCTCGGATGGTCATCTTATCGGTGTTAAAATAAAAACAGTTTATGGGCCAATTTGCGATATGAGCCAAAGCTTTTCGTTGATTTCGAGCAGGGTAAAAGATCCCATTTAGTCACTCTTCGAACAACAAAATGAACAAAGTCATACTGCGGATTCTTGCGCTGCTGTTTCTTCTGGGAATTGGTGCAGTATCGGCGCAACCAGATGGCCGCATAGTCGGTGGAGCAGATACCTCCAATCGCCACACCAAATATGTGGTGCAGCTGCGCAGGCGCAGTTCACCGAGTAGCTCCTACGCCCAAACCTGCGGCGGATGCATCCTGGACGCCGTGACCATAGCAACCGCTGCACATTGTGTCTACAACCGCGAGGCGGAGAATTTCCTGGTGGTGGCAGGAGACGATAGCCGTGGGGGTATGAGTGGGGTGGTGGTGCGAGTCTCAAAACTGATTCCCCACGAGCTGTACAACGCCACCATTATGGATAACGACATTGCCCTGGTGATTGTGGATCCTCCCCTGCCTTTGGCTAGCTCAAGCACCATGGAAGCCATTGAAATCGCCGCGGAGCAGCCAGCCGTTGGCGTCCAGGCCACAGTCAGTGGATGGGGTTACACCAAGGAGAACGGCCTGTCCTCCGATCAACTGCAGCAGGTCAAGGTGCCAGTTGTCGACTCCGAGAAGTGCCAGGATGCCTATTACTGGCGACCAATCAGCGAGGGTATGCTCTGCGCCGGACTATCGGAGGGCGGAAAGGATGCCTGCCAGGGAGATTCCGGAGGACCTCTGGTTGTTGCTAACAAGCTGGCCGGCATTGTTTCCTGGGGCGAAGGATGCGCACGTCCAAATTATCCTGGCGTTTACGCAAATGTGGCTTACTTCAAGGACTGGATAGCCAGCAGAGTATAACAGAGTGTATATACCTAACTGTTGTATTAAATGTCCAATAAAATAACGAACTACAATCGACAAACCGGCTTTATAGTTCAGACAGTCTATAAAGCGATTAAAAATGCAGTTATCGAACCATATATAAGTTGGACAATAAACTCTTTATAGGCAATGCTGACTTTGAAGTCCACAGTTCAGTTTTCTAAGGCACATTACTCACTTTAAAAATCGATTGTAAAATCGAAATGAAACAGAATTATTATGTGTTTTAGTTTGGAAATTTAAAAAATATAATTTTCACAAAAATAAATAGCTTCAACATATGGCCACTTACATAAAATAAATTTGAAATGTTAAATCCATCTCAAGTGTGTTAGCCACTGTTATATTAGCCTATAAAGCGTAATCGCAAGTAGTAACGAATGACCATGCATATCCATTATAAAATTTATGATTTCTATATACGAGTCGACCGTCAGATAAGCCATGGAATTGGCGGCCAAAAAGTTTGGGCCTTCAGTTCCCTATTCTCCTTGCCTTCGTGAACATGTCGAGCTCTTCTTGGCTGGGTTGCCTCCTGGCCGTTCTATTCAGCGCCTTGGCCTTGAGCCAAGGTCTTCCCCTTCTGGAGGATCTGGATGAGAACAGCTTTCCGGATGGCCGCATTGTGGGTGGCTACGTGACGGACATAGCGCAGGTCCCATACCAGATTACCCTGCGCTACAAGGCCATCAGCTCGCCGGAGAATCCCTTTCGGCATCGGTGCGGAGGATCCATTGTCAATGAGACTACAATACTGACAGCGGCGCACTGCGTCATCGGCACGGTGGCTAGTCAGTTCAAGGTGGTGGCCGGTACCAATTTCCAAACAGGCACCGATGGCGTCATCACCAATGTCAAGCGGGTCATCATGCACGAGGGATACAACTCGGGAGCAGCCTACAATAACGATATTGCCGTTCTATTTGTGGATCCCCCATTGCCCCTGAACAACTTCACCATCAAGGCCATTAAGCTGGCTACGGAGCCACCACTTGATGGAGCGCCCAGCAAGATCAGCGGATGGGGCTCCACTTATCCCGGCGGCTACTCCTCCAACCAACTTCTCGCGGTGGATGTCCCGATTGTGGGCAACGACTTGTGTGACCTGGACTACGAGAACTTCATCGATGAGACCTACCACATCACATCCGCCATGTTGTGTGCCGGCAAGCGGGGTGTCGGCGGTGCGGATGCCTGCCAGGGAGATTCCGGCGGACCGTTGGTGGTGCGCGACGAGCTCCATGGAGTCGTGTCCTGGGGCAACAGTTGCGCCCTGCCCAATTATCCCGGCGTCTACGCCAATGTGGCGTTCCTGAGGCCCTGGATCGATGCCGTTCGGGCAGGTCTCTAAATCAATTATGTCATCATCCCACGTTTTGTAAATAAAGTGGCTTGTGCAGCCATTTACCTTGGGGTTTTCCAAGCCGAACGTTTTTATTAATCTTTTCCCAATATAATCAGCTTAATCAATGATTAGATGGGCGGCTGGATTAAGGTCGTGGGACTTCCAAGAAGTACGATTAAAAACTGTTACCAATGGCCCAAAAGTATGCAATCAGGTGCTTGATTATGTTTAGAGTGGACCGAAGAACTTTGGACATTTCAATGTGGGGATTTCTCCACTTCTCCACTTATATTGGCGCCTAGTTGTTGATAAGGTCTATAAGCATTTGGTTTAAGAGAGGCTGCAAGCCCAAGAGTTAACGTGTTATATACACCACTAATGTGTCAATCGGATGGAATGACCTTATCTTGGTCGGACCCAGTGCTCTCACCGCTATCAGAAGCTATCTCGAGCACCGACCATTAGGTCAATCAGTATGCTCATGGAACGTCAAAACTTGCCACCCGCAATCAGTTCGATTGGAACCTCCCATCCGTGCGAATCGATGGCAGGTGCTATGTACTTCCCGCTACTGCTGTTGGCCATTGGCTGCTCCTGCATTCCAACCATTGCCGGTCAACCGGAGGGCAGGATTATTGATGGCACTACGGTGGACATAGCCCGTCATCCATATATTGCCTCACTTCGCTATCGCCGGGATGAGGAGTCCAGCTACAAGCACGAGTGTGCCGGTGTCATCATCTCGGAGCATGCCTTGGTCACCAGTGCTCAGTGCCTCCATGGCTTGCCCGCGGAAACCAAGCTTCAGGCTGTGCTCGGCGCAAACACGCGCAACGGAACCGATGGATTTATTTACCCAGTGGCCAATTGGACCCATCATCCGAACTACGATCCCGTGACAGTTGACAACGATGTAGGCGTCCTCCTGCTGGACACAGCCCTAAACCTCACGCAATTCGGAATAAGCTCGATTGGTATCCGCCCGGAGCGCCCTGCAGTGGGTAGACTGGCCACCGTTGCCGGATGGGGCTACCGGGAGGAGTGGGGCCCCTCCAGCTACAACCTGGAGCAGGCCCAAGTTCCGGTGGTGAGCTCGGAGCAGTGCTCTGCCATCTACGGCGCTGGTGAGATCACCGAGCGGATGATCTGTGCGGGATATGTAGCTGAAGGAGGCAGTGACGCCTGCCAAGGGGACACCGGCGGACCCCTGGTTATCGATGGGCAGCTGGTGGGTCTGGTGTCCTGGGGACGTGGATGCGGCCGACCCAACTACCCCACCGTCTACTGCCACGTGGGCAGCTTTGCCGATTGGATCGAGGAAACTATTGCAGCTGCTGGAGCGCAATAAACATAGGCATTTTCACGGCTATCGATACGCTATCTTCAAGTGGTTATTGCCCGGATAAAGCTACCTAATTTAATAATAAAACCTTAATCAAACAAACAGCGTACCACGTTATCGCCTGCATTGGTCACTTCTTATGTAATTCGCAGATATAAAAAGCTCGGACTTGTACGAGGCAGTTACAAGATGTTTGACTTAAGATCACAGGAAGTCGATTTTGCCCACACTCTCCTTTTCCGCCAAGGTCTCCTCCAGCCAATCGCTTACATCCGGAACGGAGCAATAGACACCGGGATACTTCTCACGGGCACAGCCCGTTCCCCAGGAGACAATGCCCAGGAGTGTGTTGTTGTAGACCAGCGGTCCTCCGGAATCTCCCTGGCACGCATCCTTTCCGCCGCCGGGTGCTCCGGCGCAGAGCATACGGCTGGTCAGCGTTAAGGGATAGGCTTTCTTGCAGTTCGGGTTGTCCACCACATTGACGCTGACCTCCTGCAGGACGTCGGAGAGGGTTCCACCTTCGGTGGTGTATCCCCAGCCCGTCACGGTGACGGGTGTATCATGATCGGGACGCTCCTTGGCCAACTCAATTGGCTGCACTGCGTCGTTGAACTCGAAGTCGCCATCCAGGATCAGAATGGCCGCATCGTAGTCGTAGTACAGTGCGCGGTACTTGGGATGAATGATGAACTCACGGACGGCCAGCTCCTGCTGCGGACCGGTGGGGAACCAGATGTTCGAGGAACCAGCCACAATGGTGAGGTCTTCCGGACTGGTCAAGGTGTTCACACAATGGGCAGCGCTGATGATCTGGTTTGATCTGTAAATGGCGCCTCCGCATCGGTGATTGCCCCTGTACCTCATCGAGATCTGATGCGGATAGGCGGTGATGTTCGTGTCCTGTCCACCCACAATGCGTCCATCTAGCTTGGGTACATGGATCTCCTCGTTGCGGCTGATAGGATCTGCCAGGGAACAGCCCACTCCGAGGAGCACCAGACACACAACCAAAATCCGTGACATTTTTGGCCAACTGAACGCAAAAGTAGCGCAATGTGTAGATTTATAGATTATGCCTATCAATCGGCTGTAGATTGCCGATTACTTGGTAATCTAAAGATAGTTCTCGCAATCAAGGAACAGACATGAAGGAGTAATAAATCTTGCTCACAATTCTTGCTAGACTTTTCCCATATTTGGTTGGTGACCTTGCAAGTTACCTATCATTGATTATCTCGCTCTGCTGCTTCGAAATCAATTAATTGTACTTGCTTTCTTTCACTATCGCTTTCTAAGCATTCTGGTAGAGATAGAAATATTTTATTTGGCGGATTGGTAGATTTATTTTTACCCAAAAGCAGGCTACATCATGAACAACACCCACATTTCTTCTATAAAAATGTTTATTACTCTACATAAGTAAGACATAGTACGATAACTTAAGTCTAAGGCATTTACACTGACTCTAACACTAAGATTGCACATTTCCGGCCCAAGACTGCTGACATTTATCACAATACGCATCCGTTAGATACTTAACCATATACTCGTACATATAATGGTGATTGATTGCACTTACTTTTCTTAGGGCTTGGGTTCGACTCCTTCTCCTTCGCTATTCTGATGTACTGTTGGTACCTGCACTTTGCGTATTGGATGCAGTTTACCAGGGTTTCACCTTCCTTAATACTAAAGCTTATCATTAGCTTAGATCTATTATAATTGCACCTTGTGGTTTGGCAAGAATCTCTAAGTTATTGCACTGATGTGTTGCTATTGCGTTGCTTAAGTCTTAAGATAGTCTTTCGTCTTTCGTCTTCCTTCCATATTGCACGACCCTAGAAACTAACTCTTCCTAATCATCTTGTAGAGCACGGAGTGCGTTTCTATGCTCTCTGCCCCCGACTCCCACATGTCCTCCGCGTTGGTCTCCTCGTCCGTCTCCGACGATCCGCAACAGGTGCTGCGTCCGCGTCCATTTTCATCCGAGGAGTAGGAGGACATGGTGGTGGTGCTGCCGCGCACGTTCCGCTCCTGGGAATTCGTTTGCGAATGGGAACGGGTCAGAGTTTTATCGGATTCCGCATCGCTTAGATCACAAGCGACAACCGCGCTGTTTTCCGGCGACCGACGACTGTGACCCGGAGAGACCATGTGCTCGAGGTCCTCGAACCGATTGTCATTCGGACCGCCTTCCTCCTCGTTGTCCTCGATGGTGTCCACCCGTATGATCTGTCCGCGGCCACAGGGCATCTTAAAGTTATACCGATCGTAGACATTACGCTTGTACAGCTCCGTGGAATCGGTGCTCATGTATCCACTGTCCAGCTGACCAAAGCGCTGCTCGTAGTACGTCTGGCTACCCGGTTGTCCCATGCCCATTCCGGCGGACTGAGCTGCATCTTCGATAATGGAGGCAATGCCATCATCCTCGAGGAATCCGGCTGCATTCTTGCTGCCATATGTTGGGGCTGGACTTTGGCTGGGACTAAACTTGTTGGCCGCCATCGTGACGAACTTACGCCACGCATTCTTCAGGTCCTTGGCTTTTTTGGCCCGATCCTTTAGTCCAATGGCAATCTGCATTCCAGCGGTAAGCTGGGCTTGCTCGATTTCGCAGCGATAGACGGTTTGCACGTTTCCGCCGGAACCAGCACTGCCGGAACTACTAGCCGCTCGTTGGGGATAGGCAATGCCCACCGGAACTCCGGCATTCCTGTACATCTCCTTTGTGCGCTCCGAAAGGTGACTGCTGCTGCGATTCGAGCGTGAGCTTATGGACAGCGCATCGAACTGGGCCGCGTCCACCTCCTTCAAGTTCTTATTGCTCCCAGCGAACTCCGGCTCGGGGGCCACGTCCTTTGGGGAATCCTGACCAGCCTTGGTCACCTCCTCCCGCTGACTCTTCCGTCGATTGAGGTACTTCGTCAGACTGTAGTCGTTGCGCAGGCTGTTGATCTTTTTGTTGTACATCCCTTCGTAGTCCTCTTCCGGTATCTTGGCGTTGATTTGCTGGCATTTGGAACCCTTGGCATGAGTTCTCTCTTCGGTGGTTGCCGATATAGCACTGGACATGGTGTTGTTGCACGAGTTCTCGAACTCGGAGGTGGCTGTGACCTCCGTGATCTCACTGTGCAGGCTGTAGGCATCCTCATCTGGCGCCTGATGTTCCGACGAGCTTGGGGGCGGTGGTGGTAGTGGTCGTTTACTTTGCACCAACGGCGGGCAGTAATGCTGATTGACCTTGGGTCTAGGAGGAGGAGGAGCCTTATCCGCCGGCTTCGGTGATGAAATCGTAATGGTCGTCTTGTTTACCTTCGTGATATCCAGCACTGAGTGGGTTGGTGAGGTCTCCATCAGACGCTGGCGACGCGAGTGCTTCGCCTCCAGGGTGAGAATACGCCCCTCTTCTTCCGGCGTGGGTGGAACCTTCTTCTCGTACTTGCTGTTCTCCTGGGCGATCAAAGGTGACTCATAGATCTCTCTCAAGTTCCTAAATGAGTTGCTGGATCGCAGGATGAAGGAAGCGGTCCGCGGCTTAATGGCCTGGTTGGGTGCGGAATTAATTTGGCGACTCAAATCGGGCAGCGAACTGATCTGGCTGAAGTCCGAGTCGACCGGCTTGTGCCCATCCCAAGCTGAGATGTCGCAGAAGCTCTGCTTTTTGGGCTTGCGATCCAGGGTATCCGGCTCGAATTGATCGCTATCCGTGCGCTCCAGATCGGAAGGGGGTTCATGTTCCACCTCGATGGTCATGCTTCCCCGAAAGGGCGTGTCGTATTTGATGCGAGCTGCCGCCTCCTTTTGCCTTTGTTGCTGGCCAGGATGTGGATGCTGGTGCTTTGCTGCCAGGCGCTTCTTCATCTCGCCCTCCTTGCGAAATCCGTCCATGCGATCGTATACAGTGTGACTGATCTCCATCTCCTCCTCGAGCGGCAGAGCTGTACTCAAGCTGGGACTCAATTGGGAGCTCACATCGGAGGACGGTGAACTGGACGAGTGGGAGCTCTTGCGTTTGCTGGGCTCCAGACGTTCCAGACTATCCGTTTCATAGTCCACGATCAGATACTGCGGGGACTTTCTTCTATAAATCGGTGAATCCGGCTGGAACTGTTTTAGAGATTTGCGACTGAGGGAGCTGTAATCCGGAGTGGGCACCGAGGGTATGCTGCTCTGCGTGCTGCTATAGATGTCCTTGATTCGCTTCTCTATGGTGCTATCGTAGTCGGGCGTTGGAATATGCGCTGCAAACTCGCGCTTGAGGGAATCGTAGATGACCTCCGGCGGCTTCATGTTCCTCAGCATGTTGTAGTGCTGCCGATCGAAGGAGGTGAGCGAGGTGGGCGTGGAGTTGGCGGCAGCGAACTGATCCAGAACCTCGCTACGCTTCCTCATCGATTTGGAGCGACTGGAGGCACTGCGCAATGAGGCCGCCGGCGAGTCTGCCAGCATGAACTTGGGATTATTGTAGATTTCGCCGCCGGTCTCGGCAAATCCATAGACATTGGCGGCCACGGAGAAGGCAGTGAAGCCCTCGTAAGTGCCACCCACGTTTGTCTTCGGCTTGGGCGACTGTTGTGGACTGCTCTTGCCGGTGCTTCGCCCAGAATGCGGACCCGAATGCGCTGGTGAAGATGACTTGGCATTACCTTCATCTGCTTTCGATTTCTGCATTGGCGGCGGTGGTGGTCGCTCTTTGGGCGCGCTTATTTCCTTTCTCAGTGAGCCCTTGTTGGGGGATCCGGATGATGGCTTCTTTGCCGTCGGTGGCGCGGATCTGTCGAGCGTCTTCTGTGCGGCAGTCGCGTCCGAGTTGGGTACACTTTGCAGCCACTGCTCGATGCTGTTCCGCTTGTCGCCCATGCCCTTCACCGCCAGACTCTGCTGCAGCGGAATATTGAACATGGTGGGTGAACTGGAGCTCGACTCCGGGTGCTGCTCCTCCGGAATGATGTTCAACGAGGGTTGGTAGCGCTTCGAGGCCATTTTGTACTTGGCAATGGCGATGACCTCGCGAATTTTCTGCAGAAACTCAATGGCAGCTTGAGGCGGTTCCTGAAAAGTTGTCAGATAAATACAATTAGGTTTTCAATCAATTCCATGTACTTGAAAAGTAGTGGACTTACCGCTAAGAGATGCGGCTCAAAGTAAGCCGGATTGAAGTAGAGCTTCTTGCGCACATTACCACTGACCATGGCACGCAAGTTCTCCAGCTTTTCCTCGCTCATCAGCTCATCAATTACGGCCACATTTTCCGCGGGCAGACATTCGTTGTCCTGCAGGAAGTCATCCACATCCATTGCAGCATTATCGGTTCCACTCGAAGGCTTGGGGGACTTACTGAGCTGTGGATGCACCAGCACAGACGTCTATAACGTATAGTTCTGTATATTTCATTTTCATTGTAGTACAGCTAACCCACCTTGATCTTTTCCTCCATTTCGCACTCAGAATTCGAGTTGGAAATATCGCTGGCAAAGCCGGAATTGTGCTCCCGTTCACTCAGCTGTGGAAAATGCTGCAGCAAGGGATTATTTTTCACAATGCCCATGTCCTCCTTCAAGCTGCCGATACTCGTACGTGTATTGGACTCGTTTCCATTGCCCAGACCCAGGCTATTGGAGGAGTAAATACTACCCACTCGGCTGAAGGGTGCTCCATACGTAACCTGATCATTCTTCGGGTAATTCATGTCAGTCGTCAGATTGTCTAGGGAATGACGAGAGTTGTGCCGCTTTCGTTTCTTCATGTAGAGATATAGAAACACTGAGGCCACATAGATGAGGCCCAGGAGCAGGCTGCAGATGCCAATGACCACGTACTCCCGCATGGTCATGCCATCCGAAGTGGAGGCCAGCGTGGTGGAGTTGGCTGGTTGGAAAAAGACCTCGGGAACATCTGTACAACGAGGTGGGGATAAGCTTGCATGCGATATGGCTCATTATTAGTACTTACTGTGGGCATATTTCACGGGACTGCCATTCACTCGGAAGGCCACACAGGGTGAGTGGACATTTCTGGGCGGCATGAGGGGCTC